CAAAGACCTTCCGCAGTGGATTTGTTGCGCTCTAACACAGAAGTAGCTACTCACTCGTAGTCCTATTAACCAAACTAGTGCGAACTGTTATGCGGAAATATTGAAGGTAGTCAACAATTGGGTAGTTGACACCACCATTAATAAATAACTACAACATATCACTTTGACTTTGCTACTTTTAGTTTTGTATAAAAACTTATTATTTTATAGTCTTTATATTTTGAGTTAAATGAGTTTTTTAATATTTAAAAATATAGAAATAAGATAATTTATGTCAATTAATACCAGGGCATCATAACAGTACTGTCGCAAACTTTAATATGGGACCCATTTCCTAGATATATCTAAGAACACTCATAATTCAATGCTGTCGAAAAATCCAAAAGAATATTAATATGTGTATGATGAATCAAAGACGGTAATTAATAAAGTTTTATTTCAAAATGTATGTATTATAATTTTACTATGGTCATTTTATTATTATTATAATATACTATAGATATACAGTGTGTCCCTAGGGAAAGTGCGACCCCGAAAGGGGGTGAAACTAGACCATAAATTCTCATTACGGGCGAAATGTGCGAAGTTTTTTAAACGAAAACTATGCAAGCAGATGGATTGGCCGGGAAGGACCAGTGGACTGGCCAGCGCGTTCATCTGATCTGTCACCTCTCGACTACTTTTTGTGGTGTGCCATGAAACAAAAAATCTACTGAACCACGGTAAATGCCGAGGCCGAATTACAAGATCGAATTCTTCAATGTGCGAATGAGATAAAAAGTGACCCCGGGATAGTGCGTAGGGCTACAAAGCAAATTGCTCTTCGTGCAGCAATGTGCCTCCAGCGACTAGGGGGCCATTTTGAGCATTTTATGCATTAGTTATAAGAACTGTGAAAAATTTATGTACCTACTTGTGACCGGATTGAAACTTGTAATTAAAATCTGACTTTTAATAGTGAAAAACACCTCTTAGCCAGCTTACTTTAGGTTACAACGAAGGTTTTTTTATTTGATAGGCAATATAATAGAGAATAATAATAAATCATAAAATTTCCTGGTATTGGGGGCATAATTCTGAGAAAATTAGAGATCATTGAAAAAACAGTCATAAAAAATAGATTTTTTTTTCATAAAAAGCAAAGTTATAGTCATGTCACTTTTTTGCGAGCCAATTGTTATTTTATCCTTACCGCCAAATATGTGGTATAATATTTTATCTTTATTTTAAAGTAACCGACTCACTACTTTAGAAATCGTTATTTTTTGTACATAGAGTATACTTAAGTTATAATTTTTTTTATTCGTCAGTTAAAAGTAAAATATATATATTTTATTTTTTAATATTTTTTTTCGATAATTTATGATCTAGTTTCACCGCCTTTCGGGGTAGCATTTTACCGAGAGACATAGGTACTGTATTGAAGAAAAACAGTTGCCGCTAGTAATGTACACGCGTGTCAATATCAACTTGATCAACTTACATGTACTTACTATTGTTTATTCTGTGCTTACGTGCTAAAAATCGTAGGTCTTAAGATTGCTGTACGATATTCAACCTTAAATGGGATCCAAAATAAATTTCACGACTGAATATATAATTAATTTCTATAAAAATGTTTGTTTTGTTAACTTGTAAAAAGTACTTCATACGATCAAAGTGTTAAGTACTAATTTGGATTTTGCCACAGATTAGATAAGTTACTACGTAATTTTTGCGAAAGCATTGGCACTTGGCACCCGTCTGAAATTTGAATTGGATTCGACTACGAACGGTCTGACTTTGTAGTGATTATCCCTGCGTCTTTTGATACTGCATCATAGCCTATATCCTATGTCATACATAGAGTTAAATATAGAGGCACCAACTCGTTCTACCTTAACCGCCAGAACAAATAGTGTTTTAAGAGTCTAATGATAATGATGACGATGACTGCGCAATTGATAGCTTCGATTATTAAGTGAAAAATCATATTTGTCAGTGTAATTGCGCAAGTAATGTTCGCATTTTTAGATATAAAGGCTGATTTACACAGGGTCAGTAACAGGTGCCAATGCTGGCGCCGAGGACTGACTCGCACTGTTCAGATGCAGTCAGTAGTCGTGGTAACTTCCTCTGGGTGTAGGTACACACGTTATTGAAGTCAGTGGGCAAAAATGAATTCACGAAAACAGCACAATTTACAACGATTGAATTATATTTATTGAGAAAACGTTCCAATCTGCTGTTGAAAAAGTTGACGGAAATGTAACAAGAACAGATATTTAAAAAAAAACGACTTTGGATAAGAAAATTGATGGACGACAGAAAAGAAACTGGAGGTTCTGCTTTGTTTTTGACGGTTAATACCGCATGCGCGGGTGGCGGGGGGGGGGGAGGGGGTGAGAAGGACTGACTTCAAAATATTCAAGCTGAAATATTTAAGTCAGCGATGGTGCGACAAAATAATTAACAATGTCAGTATCGAGTCAGCACTGACCTGGAATTTGAAGCCAGTTACTAACCTTGTGTAAATCAGCCATAAAATGCATACACGAACATTTATTGACTTTGTGTGTAAACGCTTACATAAACAGACGCTTGAGAACATATATATATATATATATATATATATATATTTTTATAGAATAAGGGTAACAAACGAGCACACAGTCACAGATGGAAAGTGGTTGCTGTGAATTAAAATACAGATGCGTTGTCAGTAAGATATAACGCCTCTTTTCCAGTAAAAACGATCTCCGGTTAAATATTAGTAAGTATATTTACGTATGCGAACAAATCTTGACGTAGCTGATTGTTATTATCGTTTACTGATTGTTATAGTGAACAAATGTATGCGCAAGCACTTACTCGCATAGGCGGTTATCCGACACGACCGGAAAGAGACCAGGCGCAGGACCAACGGCTCTACGAGCTTTCCGAGACACGGGGGTGAAACACCGTCAACTTGCTGACTCTGGGCCAATCCAATTACTGATTGTCGGCCCGACCCGGGATTCGAACTCGGGACCTCATGATCAGTAATTCACGTTTACAACCACTAAACCAACTAGATAGTCAACGCCTATACCTAAATACGTAGATAGCGGCGCGGGTCGTGAGCACAATTTCTAGCCAATTTTTTTTGTACGTGGTAGAGCCATGCTGCAGCTATATTACCGGTATAGTTGTATCACGAATGGGTCGGCTCGACCGGGGAAGGACCACGCTCTTACAGAATACCAGCGTAAAATAGCAGCTTAACGCTGCTGTGTTTCGTATGGTGAGTGTAGAGAACCGGAGACCCCTTTTTACTGGAAACGAGGCATTCCATCTTAGTCCTCACGGGTGACAACGCATCTGTATTTTCATTCGTAATCGAGGAAAGATGTAGATGTGTATGGGCCACAGCAACCACTTACCATCAGGTGGACTGTGTGGTCGTTTGTCACCCTTGTCCTATAAAAAAGCCTATACTGCAAGCGAATGACACGCGAACATCCAATAGATACCTAATGACGATTAACTGACGGATCAATTACGTGAAAGAATGTTCACAGTCACTCACCGCGACCTTGTTGACCTTGACCAAAGAGTTTGTGCTCACAATTCGTGTCGCTGATCTGTACCTAATAAGTGCGGTTTGATGTTAAATTGTTGCGCACGATACATCTCTGACGATTTTCGTGCCATTGTAGTGTAATAATTTTTCCATAAATAACAGGTTCAAATACAGGCTGGTGATTTAACAGGTTTTAAAATTGGAAATGTGATTATCGTCATGTTGAAAAAAAACCTGTTTGTTTTTTTTTCTAAACCACTGACATAACACTGGCAATTATATTTTTTTCTAACTGTTTAATATTATATGACGTAAAACATTTAAATCGTCTCTGATAAAAAGTTATTATAAAAAGACGTTGAATTATAATTGAGGTATTTTTTTTTTCTGAAACCATGTCGTTTGTCAATGGTTTAATTTTTTTCTACCTGTTTTAAAGGCGGTGGAATATACCTAGTTGATTAGTTTTTGATAAAAAAAGCTATCGTTGATCACAGATTATAAAACTGTTTTAACAAAGTTGACCGTCACAGAACGCCCGGCAGATGTGAAACATCATAGTAGCAATAAAAAAATATGGGGTAAAATAAGTAAAAGAAAAACAATAATATTATAACAAATAAGTACATAGTGTGTACACAAGCGCGGAACACGTCAAGAATATTATAGTAGAATAGAGTAATATATAGTAGAATAGAGAATTTTACGGCACTGTGGCGTAGTGGCTTAGTAATGAGCTGCAGCGCCAAGGACCACGGGTTCCAATCCCGCAAGGAACAGGTATTTGTATGGCCTACAAATAATTGTGCCGGGTCTGGATGTTTGTCTTTGTGACATGTAAGTATGGATCCCCACGATACAGGAGAAAATTCTGGTGTAGATGTAACGTTAACTCACACAGGTAGGTAAGCAACGAAGTGTACAGTATACGCGTACGCATACAAGGGAGTCGATAGCGTAGAGACGTATGACGGCATATGCAAGTGTCACGCCGTTTGCTGTGACGTCATAAGAGTCGGTTTTACTGCCAAGACGCACTAATAAACTAGTATACTGTAGAGTTGTTGATCATGGTTAGTAGGAGCCCATGTCGAGTGTAGTAAGGTAGTGGGCTGGTGAGGTAGTGAATAAGCGATCGCCGACAGCAGCACGACGGGGGAGGCGCGGACCACTAGCAGTAGTTCACGTCGAGTGTAGTGAGTTTGAATCAAAAGGCATTCGTTGATCACAGCTAGTAGGGGTCCACGTCGAGTGCAGTGAGGTCGAGTGAGGCTTAGCGGTGCAAGTCCGGCGAGCGAGGCGCGGCGGCAGCTCACGAGTCGGTTTTAATGATAAAGCGCGCCAATAGATGAGTCACATCAAAAGGATAGATCGGCTACTACCCGGTAGGAGGTACAGATGAGGCGTGACCACAGCGGGATCGCACGGCGAGTGCAGTGAGGTGGCGGTGAGCTGGCGGCTAGCGGTCGGCCCGCAGCGGCGCGAGCGCGGCGAGCGAGGCGCGGCGGCGGCGCTGCGCGGCGGGCGACGCGGGGGCGGGGGGCGCGCCCGCCAGCCCGCCCGCCGACCCGCGCGCCGGCCGCGGCTCCAGCTCCAGCGACAGCGTGTACTGCTCCTCCTCGGCGATGATCAGCGACCGGTCCAGCAGGAAGTCGCACACCTGCCACCACCGAACAAACTCACAAACACTTCTTATGTATTTTTTTTATAGAATAAAGGTGATAAACGAGCACACAGTCCAACTGTTGATAAGTGGTTGCTGCGGCCCATAGACATCTACATCTATCCTCGTTTGCGAATCAAAACGTTGCGTTGTCACCCGTGAGGACTAAGATGGAATGCTTCTTTTCCAGTAAAAAGGGTCTCCAGATCTCTACATTCACCATACGAAACACAGCAGCGTTAAGCTGCTATTTTACGCTGGTATTCTGTGAGAGCGTGGTCCTTCTCCGGTAGAGCCGACACATTCGTGCTACAACTACACTACTAATATAGCTGCGTATGGGTCTATTACATATACTATTAGATCGACAATTCAAAAAAAAATCGAGGTGTAGCTGTATCGTAGACACGTCAGTGTGTTTTTTCATGAATACGTATACGTAACGAAACGACTTCAAAATGGCGATTGCCTCATATTGGGGGGATTTGCCATAGTTGCCACACTTGGTAGGCGAGTTAGCAGTTGTTATCATGAAGACGCAGCTGCCCATCTCTTTTTTTTTTTCCTTTGTCGCCTCTCACGACACCCACGGGATTATATAGGCTAGTAGATATTCTTACACCGCCACTACACGGTCAAAATTTTAATAATACAATCCAATACAAATCAGTGTTGGATTGTCGAAAAGAACGTTCGCGATTTACAAATCAAAGAACTACGAGTAGTCTTCTCACACGCTTGCGGTCGACTAAAGGAGTTACGGAGATTTGACCGTAATTTAGTGCGCAATGTATTAAAACCGCAAAGCCTGCCTAGTAGTATACATAGAAGTCTTTGATGTTTCATTCATCATCATCATTTATCGTTCTTCTTCTTCTTCTTCCTACCTTTATCCCAAGTTATGTGGTGTCGGCATTGGATGTCTGTCAATTCCATTCTCTTTTATTAGACGACATCTCCTTTCTTATGCATATCATCCATATGCAATCTTTTTAGGCCTCCCTCTACTCTTACATCTATCCACTTTCATAGCCAACATTCTTTTTGTTAAAGTTATCCTATTACACGATGAATGTTTGACTTTGGTCGTTGTTATCCGTGCACATACACATTGTGTTGGTGTGCGTAGGCCTCGGGAGCGCTCAGTCACGATCGCAAGTCGAACGAATCGCAGTTATACATACAAACGCGTCTGTCAGTAGGCACGGCATTATGAAAATATTTATTTCACCACATAAACACAACGCCATATTGTACATAGTTGTTTTTATTTTTATTTTTAACGTTATTATTAATAACAATGTAGTATAGACGTTGCCGAATGTGACGAAAAGGGCTCGCACTCATCATTTGGCGTGACGAACTACAGCCCGCTGTTTTTCAGTGTGGCCCGTTTCGTCTCTTTCGAGTAGTATTGCGATCATAACCCCTCCCCCCTCACAAATAAAGGACTAAGAAAATAAGTTACCTTAGGTATATGTTCGATTTTGTAAGGCGTCTGTTGGAAATTTCTTATTTCTCGAATCACATGCGCTATCTGTAAACATGACCAGAGAAACAATTTAATTTAACATAATTACAAAATCGACTCGAAAAGGGTAGGTACCGCAAGTACATTACTAAAAAAAATCGTTATATTAATAATGAATAAATTTTTTATTGTCATTTAAAATAAATACTTTAATGCAATTTGCTTAAAATTTAGCAATTTTTTAATCTGGCAACACCACTTTGATGTCCGCGATGGCTTTTAATGTGTGTTGATAATATGCAGTATCCTCTTATTAGTCTGTGGTGTGTTGATATTGTTACCCAACGGTCACCCAGACCGCCTATAGGGCGGGTAGGCAGGTATATTGGCGGGATATTTTGCAATAACCGGCTAAATTTGTAGAGAAGGTTCAGAATAAGTAATATAGACAAATGGTGAAAAAAAAATTATTAAATATCTATATATCTCAAACATTCTGTCCTTTTTATCTTTTAAATTCAAAATGGGTGGTAATGCATTATTTTGAGAGATTTTACTACACACGCACACATTCTTAAGGGTCTATTGGTAAGCAAAAACGTTTTTGTCCATAAATCACATTTAATATTGCAAAATTTCAAATACTACTCTTATTTGAGCCTTATTTACTTATATTTTCAGAAACTGCAATAACGGTTTATCATTATTTATGTATTTGAACTGAAGTTTAAATTTTAAAAAAATAACCCTGTATTGCCTCGTAAGTTTCCTTAATTAATTACATTATATTTTGTTTTTGTTTTGTGCGTAAAATAGCGCAATAATGCTGCTGTATTTCATATGGTGTGTGTAGAAGAACGAAAACCCTTTTTTAACGGTAGCGAGGAATTCTTAGTTCTCAGGGGTGACAACGCATCTACACTTTGGTTTTTAATCCACTTACCCACCATCAGGTTTTTTTTTAAATAGAATTAGGGTGACAAACGAGCACACAGTTCACCTGATGGTAAGTGGTTGCTGTGGCCCATAGACATCTGCATCTATCCTCGTTTGTGAATTAAAATGCAGATGCGTTGTCAGCCTTGAGGACTAGGATAGAATGCCTCTTTTCCAGTAAAATGAGTCTCCGGTTCTCTACACTCACCATACGAAACATAGCAGCATTAAGCTGCTATTTTACGCTGGTATTCCGTGAGAGCGTGGTCCTTCCCCGGTCGAGCCGACCCATTCGTGCTACAACGATACTACTAATATAGGTGCAGCATGGCTCTACCACGTAAAACAACGTTATGCTCATTTGTCAACCATGTACTAAAAAAACTTGACTGCGTCTTTGTTCTAGTGGTTGTAGTACTGCGACTCCCGATCGTGAGGCCTGGGTTCAAATCCCGGATTGTGCCAAAAAATCAGTTATTAAGCTTTTCCATCAAGAAATTCTCAGTAGCTGACCGGAGTCAGGAAGTTGTCGGTGTCTCACCCCCGTGCCTCGGAAAGCACGTAAAGCCGTTGGTCCTGCGCATGATCTCTCTCCGGTAGCGTCAGATTACCGTCACATCGGACTATGAGAGTGAGGGAATAGAGAGTGCACCTGTGCTTGCGCATACACTTGGGCGCTATATTTCTGTCCCTAGCCGATGGCTAGTCTCCGTTGAGGCTGGCCGCCGTGACCGAAATTCGGTCTGGAGGGCATTACTATAAAAAAGTTTTGTTAAATAAAACTAAGTTTACGGATTTTATCGCGTATATTAATTTATTTTACATTCCCGACGTTTCAAGCACTTTACAGCAGCCATGGTCACGGGGGGGGGGGGGGGGGGCTGAGGTGTATGACGTCCCAATGTCATAGTTAACCACGGCTACCCACAGATTAAAAATTATCAATTTTTGTTCCGATCTACGCAGTATGAACTTACAGTATCATGAAGTCTTGCAGTTGTATGCTTGGGTTGGGATTTAATTTTATTAATTATGGGATCCCAAGCAGATGGTAGCACCCAGCCATCTTCTCTATTGAAATTAGGATGGTTTTTGATTTCAATAGCCTCGCGAATCATCCTTGGAAGGAATCGGTGTTCTTTAGCTAGGATTTATGGTCTATCAAATCTAATGTAGTGACAGGGGCGATCCTGTACATATTCACAGACTGCAGACTTCCCGGAGCGTCTATTCTTTACATCAGCTATGTGTTCTTTAACGCGGGTTTAGCTGATGTGAAGAATAGACGCTCCGTGAAGTCTGCAGTCTGTGAACATGTACAGGATCGCCCCCGTCACTACATTAGATTTGATAGACCACAAATCCTCGCTAAAGAACACCGATTCCTTCCAAGGATGATTCGCGAGGCTATTGAAATCAAAAACCATCCTAATTTCAATAGAGAAGATGGCTGGGTGCTACCATCTGCTTGGGATCCCATAATTAATAAAATTAAATCCCAACCCAAGCATACAACTGCAAGACTTCATGATACTGTAAGTTCATACTGCGTAGATCGGAACAAAAATTGATAATTTTTAATCTGTGGGTAGCCGTGGTTAACTATGACATTGGGACGTTATACACCTCAGTCCCCCCCGTGACCATGGCTGCTGTAAAGTGCTTGAAACGTCGGGAATGTAAAATAAGTTAATATACGCGATAAAATCCGTAAAATTAGTTTTATTTAAATGTGTAGTGTTCGCGTAAATATAAGAAATCATTAAGTTTTGTTAAATTCATCATCATCATCAGTCTGCGGCAGTCCACTGCTGGGCATAGGTCTTTTTTCAAGCCACACAACTTAGCCCGATCTTCGGCTACATGCGTGTAGTTTCTACAAGTCACCTTGCGCAGATCATCGCTCTAACTGGTCAGGAGACGTCCCACAGTCCGTTTGCCTAGACGCGGTCACCACTTCATAACATGTCTGTCTATTCAACCGGTTGTCTCTTCTGCGACAGACATGATCAGCCCATTGCCACTTCAGTTTACAAACACGGAAGGCTATGTAATCTTGGTTCTCCGGCTGATTTCTTCATTTCCACGTTTCGTTTCGTTTTATTAAATTGTTTTTAACGAATTTGTTGGAAGCCTCAATCTTCTATTTGTATTAATTTAAATTAAATTTCTTTATTTCATACATCTTTAAAATTGTTAGGTAAAGAGTTATAAGCTATGTTAGTATTTTATTAATTTCGGCACCATAATTTAATTCAAAATAATAAATAAAAATATGAGACTGATAGTGACCAGCTAACAAAACTCTTCAAGACAGGAGAGTTGCAGTTCTCCGCCTCAATGTATAACCATCGTCATCATCATTATGGCTAACTCTTTACAAACCTATAGATGATAGTAGGCCTTCCCAAAGTAATGCCACAAAGCACGGCTCTGAGCCTCTGGCAACCTGTCATTGATGAGAGTCATTATTTTAACGTCTCGACATTAACTTCAACCCCAACAAAATGGATTAATAAGCCAAAAAAATCAAATTAATTCTTACCATTCTCATCTTGGAGAAGTTTAAAAGACCATCGGGAGTATAATTTGGCGTCCCTTCTTCTATGAACGACAAATCAGATAGATACATGCCCAAATACGGGATACAGGGTGGATCACATCTGTAAAATGCAAATAAGTTGCTCAGTCTGTATACATTTATAACATAGTGATTGTTATTCTACAATAATTTAAGGGACATTTACCGCATAGCGTATGTCAGTCCCATCATACACTAACATACACCACATACTCATATAACGTTAGTTAATACTTATTATACTACGCGAGCCATGGATGCGAACAGAACTTTCGCATCGTCGCCGTTTGGTTGTGATAAAATATTATGAAATGTGCCTACGTCAGTTCTATTCAAATTCAAGACCCTTATTAAATTACTTCTTACAGACTCAAATCGAACACATTCCATCAATATATGGTGTAGGTCTTGTATAGCTCCACAGTCTTCATAATTGGGCGAAGTTGTTTTTCTCATCAGGAATACAAATTTCTTAGATGGAACGTGTCCAGATTTGAGTCTATGAGTAGTAGTAGCTAATTTCCTACCTAAACAAGTATTCATGAACTAGGGCACATGAAGAGGCTGACACTGTATGGTTTTGTACCATTATGTAGTCTTTGTATACAATAAAATATATTAGGAAGATTCTGATACTTTATTGACGTTTATTACTTTATATACGATAAGTATACAGATATATAATATACATTATACATTATACAATATGCATATGATAATATATAGTTAGTTCGTACGAGGAGTACTATAATTCTATCATAGTTATCGTCACCGTTGCAGTCCTTCTTGTGTCTGTGCGGGACATGGCCCTCCCCATAGATTGCCACATACAGCAACTTGCATCCGTCAACGATGGCCTCTATCGAGTCCTTGAATGTTACATCTTGTCAAAGTTTCTGTTTCTGTATCTGTCATTATTCCATCCTGTGGTTTTGTCAATACTTCAAGCTAAATAGCTGGTCAATTGCCACTTCAGCTTATTACCTTATTCCATAATTTATTCACATATCTTTCAGTGGACCCATCATAATCATCATTACAACCTATCAAACGTTAGTCAGCTAATCAGAGACATGAGAATATAACTGTTCGCGCCGTTTTTGTACTACCGCCTAGCGCTTATGTGATTCGTTAATTATTATCCAATAAGATTACTACAAATAGTTCCATTTACGGGTTTCCTATCTACCCTCCTTTATGCCTTTAGCATGCGCAATGACTGAACATAAGCCTCTCTCATAGATTGCCTCATAGGGAGTTATTAACCATAGTTAGCACGATAGGTAGAAAGACGATGCTTCTCATATCCTGTTTAATTTTCCACAGCGCCTCTGGTTCCACCTACAGGATGATATGGAGTTGTGAATTCCCTTACACCGCAACTACAAGTCGAAGACTCATTGAAAAAAAATATTTAACTACAAAGCACGCATTTATTGTAAATGTTACGGCTAAAAGTCGAAGTGCGCTTACACCTAGTTCTAGCCGGCTAGAACACGGATATACGTGTTAAGTAGTAACAGCGACAGGCCAACCCAACCACACCTTTATCTACCCAACCGCAACCGCAACCGCAGACATTTATCTAATGTATAAATTATAAATGATACACCTAAGTGTAACTGCAGGCTGCACCTAGTTTTAGTTGGCTAGAACTAGGTTTAACCGCATTTCGGTTTTTAGTCGTAACATCTCCACAGAGAAATAAAATTTCTTTTTATCTTTATTATATTTCATTCGCCGTGTCATTATAAAGCATTTAAATTCTTTGTAATCGAGATAGCGATATTGTAGAAATATTTAGTGCAATAAAGATTAAATAAATAAATAGCGATTATTATAATAGAACTTCCCGCGCATGCGCTTGCTTCGATCCGTATCTGTATCTACTAATAACAAGTGGTGAAATTAAAAATTTTGATTAACCGACTTCAATATAAATAAAATGAGATTTATAATAAAATCCGTCCATTAAAGCCTATGCTGAATATAAACCTCTCCTATAGATAGGGGAAGATATTTGCCATAGTTGCCACGCTTAGCAGGCAAGAACAGGCAGAAACGGAAACAATTTTTTTTTATTCAATATAGATTATAAATAACACTTATTGAAAATCACTCTTTTGTTTAATTACCACTGGTTCGAAAAAAAACTTCTGTCCTGGGAAGAACTAGCAAGAAACCTAGCGGGACTTTTTTTTTTAATAATAACAGCTTACAATCATGTATGTTACACAACTAACAACACAAAAAATTAGAAATAGCTTGGTAGCGATCACCTCATTTTCAGGGGTTATTATCATCCATAAATTCCTTAATATTATAATAACCCTTTTTATACAAACTTAGTTTAAAGTTTTAGAACTTTGAACAGGTCACTATTTGTATGTTTTGTGGAATTTTGTTGTAAAAGCCTATATATCGCCCCAAGAATTAATTACTGACTCGATGGAGTCGAATAACTGGCTTAAGCTTGTGTCTGTTCCTAGTATTTACAGAATGAATATCACTTATTTTTGTAAAACTACTTTTACTTTTGTGTACCACCATTACATTTTCATAAATATTTGAGATTGAATTTTAGATTGAGAGGCGAGAGATAATATATTAATTTACTTAAACTTTTGTCGCAGCGACTCTTTAGGCTTTAAATCATAAATTGCTTTTATGGCCCTCTTCTGTAAAACAAATTTAATTTTAGTGTCAGCCGCGTGTCCCCATATTCGTAGCAAATTACCATACGGCTTTATGCTATGGAAATAGCTAAAGTAGACTAGTCTAGCTGTTGCAACACTGGTAAAATTTCTAATCTTTTTACAGCATATGCTGCAGAACTAAGTCTGCTTGCTAGTTTTGATATATGGGGGCTCCATTGAAGCTTCGCGCCTAGTGTGATTTCAGGAAAAATGGTGGTATCGACAAGACTCAGTTCCTCCCCATTTAAAATTATATTAGTACTTAATTGTTTGACATTTGGAGGCACGAATTTCATACATTTCGTTTTAGTGCCATTTAAATGCAAATTATTAATATTGAACCAATTTACTAATTTAGATATAGCATTATTTACTTGGTCACATTTTAGTAATTGTCGTCTGAATTTGAAAACTAAAGAAGTGCCATTAGCAATTAATACTATATCATGGTTATCCCCTACTATGTAAGATAAGTCATTAATGTATACAAGAAACAAAAAGGGGCCGAGAAATGAGCCTTGAGGCACGCCTATTTGTTCCATCGACCCGGAAGAGCTCATACTGTTAATGACAACTTTTTGCGTTCTGTTCCTTATATATGAAATAATTAATTTAAGAGCATCGCTTCTTACACCGTAGTGTTGAAGTTTCCTGATTAATGTTTTATGGTGAACAAAATCAAAAACCTCGGATAGGTCATAGAATATACCCAAAGCATCCTATAAATTTTCCCATGCATTGAAGATATATTTAATCATCTCAACACCGGCATCTGTTGTCGAGCGACCCCTTGTGAAACCAAATTGATTTTTATGAAGTATATTATTTATATTTAAAAAATTTAACATTTGATCGAGAATATTTTTTTCAAAAATCTTACTAATTGTTGGTAATACAGAAATAGGTCTAAAATTGACGGGGTCTAATGTACTATCAGATTTAAGTAAAGGTATTTTTTTTAATAACGTTACCCCCACACTAGGATTTTCTCCTGTATCGTGGAGGCAGTTTACAAACACAAATTTCACAACGACAAACATCCAGACCCGGAACAATCATTTGTAGGCATACAAATACTTGTTCCGTGCGGGATTCGAACCCGCGCCCCCCAGCGCAGCAACTCATTGCTAAGCTACTGCGCCACGGAGCCGTCAATTCGCGTCAAATCGCGATTACTTTACCATGCTTCATTAAATTTGAAAACACACCAGATTCGATACTAGTATTAAAAATAATAGCTATATAAGTCGCGATTGTATTTATTATATACGCAATAACTTTAACGGAAATCACCCACAATCACATCAATAGTTTTTAAATATTTCATTTCCATTGAAACAGGAACCAGCTTAAAATTTACCTGTGCAAAGCGTCACGTAAAATTCTGAATCTGCACTCCGACGAAATTAAAATCTGCATTTTTTCAAGGGTCTGTTTACTCTGAAAAATAATTAACACGGTTTTTATTTTTTTATTTTAAGGCGGTCTTATCGCTAAAGAGCGATCTCTTCCAGACAACCTTTGGGCTAAAGAGAAACTGGAATTAAGAACAGTAGGAGGTGGTGCGCTTTATGTTACACTTACATACTAATATCTAAATAAACTAAACTATATTTTGTTAAAATACCACAATAATACATAAAAAATAATAATAAAATAAACATACATATTAATAAATAGGTATATATATATATATATATATATATATATATATATATATACAAAGATAATAAATATTGCTAGAATTGGTTATCAATAACCACAAAGTGTTAGGTAATGCTTCTTGACGTCACTTTTGAATCTTTTCAAAGTTTGAGCACGTTGAATTTGGAGTGGAAGTTCATTCCATAACCTTATGGCTTGGCTCGTAAAAGAATATTTCATAAATTTTGCTCGAAATGAACATGGTTCTAGAATTAGTTCGCCGGCTGACCGAAGAACTCTATCAGGTTGATCATGACCAAGAAACTTAAAGTTTTCCTTCAAGTAGCTTGGAGTCAAAGGATTGAACAACACACAGTACAAAAGAGATACAGTTTGCAGATTCCGGCGAAAGCGAATGGGTAACCACTTGAGCTGTAAACGATATTCGGATACATGATCATATTTGCGCAAACCAAATATGAACCTAATAGCAATATTTTGAATTCGCTCAAGTTTGTTCAGTTGGTCTTCAGTTAAATCGAGATAACTTGCGTCCGCATAATCGAGAATAGAGAGAAGTAAGGATTGTGCTAACATAATCTTAGTGGGAATGGGGAGAAAAGAACGTAAACGACGAAGTAAACCCATAGTAGCAAACACCTTTTTGCTCACTTGTTTTAACTGCTGCGACCACGACAAGGTAGAATCTAAATATATTCCCAGATTTTTTACAGATTTACTGTAGGGTATGACAACGTCATTTAGTGTCACCGAGGGTAGGTTGTTCCAGTCAACTCTGGAGACCATCCCTCCACCACCAATAACTATAGCCTGGGACTTGAACGGATTAATTTTTAGACCATAACGCTGACTCCACTGGTTTTTCGCCGCTAGGTCATTGTTGATGGTGGCAACAGCAGAAGGCAGATTTAACAGAGTTGACTGAGTGTAGATTTGGAGATCGTCTGCATACATGTGATAGAGAGAAGTAATATTTTGAGAGATAGAATTAATGAATATAGCAAAAAGTAAAGGAGACAGCACACCACCCTGAGGCACTCCAGCCCGTAATTCGCACCAAGATGAGAACTCATCTACGATGCGAACACGCTGCCGTCGGCCGTAAAGATAACTATGAAACCAGCCAATCACCGGAGGAGATATGTTAATAGAACGTAACACACTCAATAAGATGTCAAAATCAACAGTGTTAAACGCATTGCTAAAATCAAGCAATACTAACACAGTGAGCTGTTTGTTATCCATACCTCGTCGAATGTCATCAGTAACTTTAACCAACGCTGTTGTCGTACTATGATCCGATCGGAAACCAGATTGGAGAGGATCCAGGATACAATTTCTATTTAGGTAGAGATTTAACTGAAAGAAAACTAGTTTCTCCAGGAGTTTGGATAAAAACGGGAGAATTGAGATAGGACGAAAGTCGGAAAAATGCAAAGCATGGGGTTTTTTTGGGAGAGGCGTTACAAGTGCACTTTTCCAAACATCAGGAAATTTTGAAGAGGAGATGGATTTATTCAAGATTTGGGTAAGGATAGGAGTAACAAATTCTAGGATAGGTAAGATCATGTTACGACTAACATTGTCATCACCCACGGCATTGGACAAGATGGACAAAATGTTCTTTTTAACATCACTATCAGTGAAAGGAGAGAAATTAAACGGTGGAAAATCAGGAGTTGGTATTGAAGAAAGAATACTCACAGTCCGATCTTTATCTGAGCTATCTAATGTGCTAGAACAGGTGAAGTATTTGTTAAGGAATTCAACATCAACATTATGACGAGGAGAATTATTGGATGTTTTACCAACTCCAAGAGACTGAAGAAACTTCCAAACTTTGGCTGCGTCGCCGTTTTCGACGGATTTATGAATATGGCGTCTTTGTGCATCCCTACACAATGTATTGCAGCGATTCCGTACTTTATTATAATATCGTAAGTTTTTCTCAGATTTATCAGCTTTTAACTTACTTTTAGCAAATCCTTTTTTTATAATAAGTTTTTTTAGACTATCAGTTAACCAAGGTGCGGGTAAATGTTTCATTTTTATTGATTTTACTGGGGCATGGATGTCATAAAGTTGGATAAGAAAGGAGTTAAATAACTCGACTTTCAAGTCGACTGTTGAAGCATTTTCAACAGCTGACCAGTCCATGCGACGAGCATCTTCCAGAAGACGTTCTTTGTCCATTCCACCAAAATTACGTTGCAGAAGAATTCTCGATTTTGCTTTAGGAGGACGAACTTTGTATGCAAGAAACAAGAGATCATGATGAGAGAAAAGATCAGCGTCATGCTGGCCATGCTTCAGTACAAAATCTGGAGAGGATACAATAATTAAGTCAAGTAGTGATGGAGTACAGTCAGGCATTTTATGCGTAGCAGATAGTGGTAATATATGTAGATTACATGATATGTAATTGAGGATAGATGTAAATGTCTATGGGCCACAGCAATCACTTACCATCAGGTAGACTGTGTGCTCGTTTGTCACATTATCCTATTAAAAAAGACATCTAACCACGCCCACGCAATCCACAACTGTGACATAATTTTTTTTCTAACTTGCTGATCTAGTAATATACATAGAAGTTTATAACATCCAAGGTAAAAAGTCGACCAAATAATATTGTGGACGATGCCCGGTTATTAATACGATATAGTTATTCTATTTCACGATGAAGTTTTGACTCTGGTTGTTGTTAGCCGTGCACATACATATTGTGTTAGTGCTTGTGTTATTGCTGCGGGTGCTCGGGAGTAGCGCTCCCGAGGCCTACGCACACTAACATAATGTGTATGTGCACAGTTAACAACAACAAAAGTCAAAGCTTCATCGTGAAATAGAATAACTACACTAGGACTAGATAAAATATTTCTATCGGTGATAATAGTCTAGTCCAATGGATGTAAATATTGCTATACAAAAATGTTAATAAAATGATATACCTATATTTAAAATTAAAAAACCGCGAAGTTTCTATCACGTAAGTTTCTATCATGTAAGTAACTATTACGATTCACATTTTCTTTCTTTTCTCTTCAGAGGGACATGTTATAGAAATTAAATTTCTCTAAAAGAGTTTATTTTCATTCAGAATAAAAAATAAAATTATTTATACTTCAAGCTTTTGTATTGCTTACGGTTTTTGAAACTTTTTCCCAAGTTTTCTTCAAGCGGTAGATGGACGTATTAGATAGCGCCGCGCAGACCTGAAGGACGCCATTGAAGTTATGCAGGCAGCGGGCTATATCAGCCACTGCCGCCCACTTCTCAATTGCTGCAACTCGACCTAATACATGTACATTATAAAGTTTCTTGACATATTCATTCATAAAAAGTTATGTGAATGTAGAATCAGACCTATACCCGACGTTGAACTCTAATAATGAGGACATTCATGACCTTTTCTGCAACCCGGGCGGCACAACTTGGCAATGAGGTGAAATATTTGACAGACAATATGGCGGGGACGTTAATTTGTTACGAAAATATAAGGGTTAATGTTTTTTTTTTTATATTAGCGTAGTACTATCATTTATTCTATGATAATAGTGATATTTTATATTAATTGCATAAGAAATGAATAAATTAAACAAACTACGTATATTCCTAAAAGTTTAAAAATTAAAAAAAAGTGACAAATGTGCAAAAACTTAAAGACTAAACCAACCAAAATACTTAAAGAGATTGTTGATTGTATTGCTATAATACTCTAGAAATAGATAATTTAAAATTTACTTCAAAATTAAATGACATTGTGTAACAAACTAACGATATCTGGTGTCTCGCCTATTTTAAGTTTACTGTGTGTGTGCGTGTGCGTTTTTTTTTCATTATGTAGTAATATTATTACTGGCCAACACACCACTTTCATCTTTTTTTTTGAAGAACTAAGTCATATTATAGGTAGAACAGCAGAGTTCCAAAATAGTCGCACGAGGTAACTAAAACTTCTGGAAAATCACATAGTGGTCGACTATCAAGCATCTAGATTCTAGATCGATATAGAATTACGGTTTGTCACAACGTGCGATGGCGAATCTTTGCCTTTGTAGCACTCCGCGTGGGAGATGCGACATAACATGCAAAGAGCCTACATCTACTATACGAAATGTGGTGGTGTATACACGAACCATGCGGTACTTCATTTTCCTTTCATTTGATTTCTTATAAAGATAGGCAATAATAGTGAATATGATTATTGTATAAGCATAGCCATCTGTACAAAAATAGTTTTTTTTTATCTATCAGTCTATTTTGTAGCACTTTTGTTATATTTTGTATGAATTTGCTTTTTCTTCCTCTTTGTATAGACATGAATGCAGCAGAGGTCTGTCACGAGCTGATTATCTCTCCAAGTACGGAGAATTTGCCTTAATTATTAGCTTGGCAAGCGTATTGACGATCGAAGTGTCAAACCTGACGATCTTTGACACTGTAGCCCGTGTTTGGTCCGGATATCTCCGTATTTTCTTTATAATGTACTCTAGACCGAATTTCGGTCGCGGCTGCCAGTCTCAATGGAGACCAGACATCTGCACATGACAGGATTATAGTGTTCAAGTGTATGCGTAAGCACAGGTTTACTATATATTCCCTCATTCTCTCAGTCCCATTGAACGGTAATTCGACACGACCGGAGGGAGACTTCTTGATAGATAACCTCAATAACTGATTTTGGCCCAACCCTCCTGGGTTCACCTCATGATCAGCAATCGCATTTACGACTACTACACCAACGAGGCTCATTTATTTTGTGTTATAGTGATTACCAACTCATCCCGAGTGTATGTCCAAGCACAGGTGCACTCTATTCCCTCCCTGCCATAGTCTGATGGGACGGTACCCCGACACGACCGGAGAGAGATCAGAAGCAGGACCTACAGCTTCACCTGCTTTCCGAGGCAAAACACTGCCATCTAATCTACCTGACTCCGAGCTGCTACTGAGGATTTTTTGACATAAAAATCCAATAACTGATTTTTTACGTCATGGTCAGCAACTGCGTTTACGATCAAGCTCGCTTTTCACTACGGGATATAATATATATTATATCCCGAGATATAAATTATATCCCGCGATTGGCTTTCACACTGTGAGATATATCTTTTAACCAGTGTGCGTTCAGCTGGCTTTTCACTATGGGATATAATATATATTATAATCCGAAATATAAATTATATTCCGCGATTGGCTTTCATACTGTGAGATATATCTTTTAACCAATGTGCGTTCGTCATTGGATTACCCCCTGTACCATTTCGCGCGTGTGCGGGGTACAGGGGGCGAAATATAATATGAAAATATCACTCGGTCGATCGAAAAAATATTTATAGTTTGAGATGTGATAGTGAAAAGCGAGCTTCAGAGGATTAACGAGGCGGTTTTATTAAACCGTAAAGAAAGAAGAAACGGATGAGCTGGATATGATGAGAATTATCCTTAAATTTACCTAATAATGTACATTTCTTGAGTATTTCCGAAATAACGAGGTTCGAAATGTGGTTGAAGTGTGCCGTCATCATCAGTATGTGTGGGGCGCGCTCCGACTTGTCGCCTTTCGTCCAAGCTTGGCCCAGGAACTCTCTGTATGAAAAATAACCTTAGAATTCTCATCATAAGTTTATCATAGTTGCGTTCAGCTTAACCGATGTGTATTTGTTTTTTTTTACTACTATCAGCCAGTGCTTGCCTACAATCCACTTGGTGGTAAGTGGAGATGCTTACAAACTTTGTAGAGCGATGCTGTAGCTATATTATGGTTGTAGTACGAATAGATCGGCTGGGGAAAGACCACGCTCTCACAGAATATCAGCGTAAAATAGCAGCTTAGCACTGTGTTTTGTTAAGTGAATTTGAAAACCGGAGATCCATTTTACTGAAAACGAGGCATTCCATCTTACTCCTCAAGCATGACAGCGCATCTGCATTTTGATTCGTAGTCGAAGATAGATGTAGATGTCTATGGGCCACAGCAATTACTTACCAACAGGTGGACTGTGTGCTCGGTTGTCCCTTATTCTATAAAACAGCCAAAGATGATAAAGCGCACTAACTTAGCTCAACATAAGCACTTGTTCGACTGTCGGTAAAATTTATGTTTATTTCCAATGCCTTCTTCTTCTTTATCAGTCCACTGCTGGACGTGGTTCTCTCCGGGTTCTTCCTTAATCATCATACTTGGCAGGTGGCCTGACGATAATGAATAAACGAAATGGTTACACCGCTGTCTTTCAGCTGTCATGACGTATTTTTTAAATTTTTAAACATTTGCCTTTTACAACACGCAAGGGACGCATTGGTGAGATGGATGGATGGATTTTTTTAAATTAATTAATTAAATTTCTTTATCATAGTAAAAAATCCTAGTTTAAAAAAAGCTATAATAACAAATAATAAAAATTAAAACAAATTGAAAATTAAAAGGGGCTCCGCCATTAGAAACGTGTATTATGATTGTACGGAAGCCTTCATGCGCGAGTCCGACTCGCACATGGCCTGTTATTACTTTCACATTTGTTTTTTATTTTTGTAATGTGTAGAATGTATCAGTATCGATTCTAAAAGGTATGTTATTAGATCACAAATTGTAATTAGATTATAACGGGTTATGCGGAGTGATTACCATTGGACAGGTTCGGGTCAAAGCTTCAGGATCACAGTGTTATACCTTGGTTATTTATTTAACAAGTACACTTATAATACACATTAAAAACATTATCAAGAAAACATACATATTTTTACACTCTCTGATATTATGCAATCAATTACAAGTGTATGACATTCTCAGATTAAGTCATGCAAACTTAATTTCGTACAATGAGAAAATATGCGAATAAATTATGTAAGTACAAGAAAAATCTATTTAAAAAATAAACAGAATGTAGTTTCCTTTCACATTATGAAATTAAACGGTGCTTGGACCTTTTAATAACTGTTATAGAATTTTAGAGTTTCTAGAATCTTAACAAATTGGCACCAGATTGTGTTTTCGTATACTCACTGGCTGTGGATGAAGCTGAAGATCTGATAGTCCAAGTAGGTCATTTGCTCCGCGATCTCCAGGGCTGAGAGAGTTTCAATACTTTCTTTCGTTGGCACCTACAACGTACAGTAAGTAAATAAATAGCATTGATGACACCGAGACTTCACCAAAAGGGTACAACTGCATTGGATTAAAGAATGTTTAAATGAGCGGTTCCAGTTCCAGTTCGTTGAGTCCTGGGCCAAAGCAGATACAAGAAAGTTAGGTGTCCTTAAATGGCGGGACAGTCGTTATAAAGGTGCGACGTTACTTCACGCCGCGCCGGGTCTTGGTTGCACTATACATGGATAAAGCGCAAGTCCGATCGTACATGAACCATTGCTGTAATGTATATACTTCCTAATATGTAATTAATTTTATTATTATTATTATTTTAATATAATTTTGTGTTATTATTATATTAATTATTTGTATATATTATTTATTATTATGAATAATACCTTTGCATTTTGTATATTAACTTTAGTAATGATTTAAAATTTTAATGTATGGTATGTGAGGTTAATATAGTCATCTTATGTTTTGCCGCCCTATATAATCAAAACTAGGAGGAGGACAGAAATAAAAATACAAAGTCGTATACTATAACTGATATATGAAGAAAAAAATAGCAAACAAGCTCTGGTAATAATTAGAAACACTTTGAAAAATCAACTTAAAAAAAAACTTATTAAACTACGCAATTCTAAAATGGACTAAAATATTTACTATAATATCAATTGTCAAAATAGCTTCCATAAAGCTGCGCCGTTTTTACTCTTTACTCTTTGAATGACTGATGAATGGGTATCTTTTATTTATTTAATTATTTATTCTTTATTGCACTAAATATTTGTACAAAAGGCGATCTTAATGCTATATGGCATTCTCTACCAGCTAACCTTGGGTAGAACAGAGAGTGTGTTTGGGTAGAAAGATGTCATGATATAATTCAGTTCAAATATATACATGCAGCACATACATAAAATATACATATATATATATATATATATATATATATATATATATATAAATACACACATTTATACATATATATCTCAATAAATGTATATATAAATAACTATAAACATATAAATTATGTCGACTCAACTTTGTAGGCTACGGATATGCTCATATAGTTTTCTTTTAAAAACATTTTTAGAAGAATATCACATCAGGGTATCATATCACATAGTCATCTATGCAAATAAGGTTTTTTAGTTATAAGAAAGTGACCATATTACCCTCACGTACTATATTTAATTTGAATGAATTTAATATTACGATTTGACCCTGGAGGTGGTCGAAATAAATAAATAAAAAATAATAAATACCAGGGCGGCGGAAAAGTTCGCGGCCTAAGGTACTTTTTTTAATCATAGGTAAAGGGCTTTGTCGCTGATGCGATTTTTTTTATAGGAGAGGTGGCAAACGGGCATGCGGCTCACCTGATGGTAAGTGACTACCGCCGCCCATGAACAACCGCAACACCAGGGGAACCAGGGGAATTGCAGATGCGTTGCCGGCCTTTTAAAAAGGAGTAGGCTCTTTTCTTGAAGGTCCCTAAGTCGTATTGGTCCGGAAAAATCGCTGATGGTAATCGATTCCACAAGGAAGTCGTGCGAGTAAGAAAACATCTTCTAAATTGCACAGTGGTGGACCGCCAATCATCCAGATGGTGTGGATGGTATCGAGAGTTCTGCTCGCGATGTGCGTTCGTGAAATTTGGCGGCTGGGATTAAACCGAACAATTACTCAGAGCACTCCCCGTGGTAAATGCAAAAGAAAATTCAAAGGGATGCAACATCTCTTCGCAGTGCCAATGAATCGAGACGATCAGAAAGGACTCGGTCGTCAACTATTCGAGCCGCTCTGCGCTGGATGCGGTCAAGTGGAAGGAGCTGGCACTGGAGAGCCCCTGCCCAGAGATGGGAACAGTATTCCATGTGAGGCCAAACCTGCGCCTTGTAAAGTTGCAGGCGGTGTGCCGGCATGAAATACTGTCCCGCGCTGCTGAGCACGCCAAGCTTTTTAGAGGCCAATTTGGCCTTCTCTTCCAAGCGACCACGAAACTGCACATCACTCGATATGACGACTCCGAGGATTCCGATACTGGCTGAGGCAAGAAGGGGAGTGCCTTGAAACTGAGGAGATACGACAAAGGGGTTCTTTTTAGCGGTAAACGATTATGACGGTAGTTACAAAAGATTTTAAATATAATAATTACTAATTTACTGATTACTTAATCTCTTATTAATTAACAAATAGAGTTTTTTGGCATCATCTGATAACGGGTCCGATAAAATGCTAGTACTACTAACAATTAAGGACAAATGTAAATTACAATTTGCTCATTCGCTTGAGTTCTGGGCACATTCTATCAAAATGTGATAAACATCATCGATAATATTACAAGATGAACAATTTGGTGAGGTAGTTTTTCGCATCAAGTATAAAAATTTATTGTATGGACTGTGTCCAGATCTGAGTCTTAATGATGTTACAGTGTCACGTCTACACAATAATATTATAGTCGTTTATTTATCCAGCATTGGGTGCGGCTGGATCGTACGGTACCATATACCCCTCTCTTTTGATCTTTCGTCATAATATTCTTTCCATAGATCACAACAATATTTTTTCAATGATTTTTGAATTTTTTTTTTCAAATTGATTAATTGCTATTTGTACATTAAAAAGGTGGTTTCAGTGGCTTATGATGTAGATTAATCTACTCAAAAATGAAGTCTTCTGCAAATAAAAAGACCTTACTGCGGCAGTATACTGGCAGTCCATAACGGAACGAATTCGAGCGAGTCCATTCAGCACTGCTCAGTGCTCTCACTGTGTATATCGGAACATGCCCTAAATATTATACTCTATGTATACTATTAGACTGCGGCCTTAACGAATTGCGCATTAGGTTACGATCAATTCTCCGTTACTCCTTTTCCTTTAGTCGATTGAAAGCGCTCGAGAAGACTACTCGTAAGTCTTTGTCTTGTGAACCGCGAATGTTATTTTCGACAATTATCTAACACTGATTTTGTTTAACGTGACTAAGAAAATGCTGTCATTATTTATGTGCGCACTTTGTCTACGTGTTTTGAAATTTATTTCAAACTAACGATCCGCCCCGTCTTCGCACGGGTGATTTGTGGATCTCGGCAACCGGCACCTTCCGGGTACACTTAAAATGCGTTTAAACCATCGAGGGACCTACTAAAACATACATAAAAAAATTTCATCAAAATCTGTCCAGTTGTTTTTGAGACTAACGGATCGCAATTGATTTTTATATATAGAGATAGAGATAAATATGTAAATTTATTTCGTATTTACCTAAAAACAGTAACTGTCGTAAAGCGTGACATATTTACCGTGCGAGCTACCCGTGCAGCCGGCACCCGCGCTATTTACAGCTTTGACAAAGTTTGTTCGAAATTGACGTTGTAGTAGTATACATAGAAGTCAATAACTGAATTAACTAAGATCCGCGTAAGAATAAAATAAAAATTACGTGTTTTACCTAACCTCGTGTAGTTATTCTATTTCACGATGAAGGTTTGACTTTGGTTGTTGTTAGCCATGCACATACACATTGTGTTAGTGTGCGTAGAGGTAGCGCTCAGTCAGTCACGATCGCGAGTCGAACGAATCGCAGTTACACACACAAACGCGCCTGTTGGTACACGTCACTACTACAATGAAGGCGAAACTTTCATCTTCAAATAGAATAACTATAACGCACCAAACTAAGTAAGACACATTATTTTTGTTATATTTTTACGCGGATCTTAATTAATAATGTTTTTTTTAACATCTTGAATATAATGGATTTTTTGCAAAGTAACACAACATGACTCTATTAATTATAGTTTAAGTAATTATAAACTTACACGTGGAGGAGCAAATATGGCTTGTAAATCAATAGCCCTATCTGGGGCTCGTTCCAGCAATCGGAGTAGTTGGGCTGCAGCTTTATGTTCGGCCGGCAGTAGTCCGGGACTACTCTCGATTTCCTTGAGGAAATCCATGGTGAGACCTCGCAGTCGCTCGTCAGACCAGAAATCCGAGGAGTGCTTTGATATCCAATGTCTGTAAGTTACGAGACAATTTATACAATATTAAAGTGACAATGAAATAACACCTTTTTTAACTATTACAAGCCAGTGCTTGACTGCTTAAGCGCACTGACTTAGCGAAGTCAGTACACTTTACCATCTTCGGTTGTAAAAGGCTATTCACTCTTGCCTTAAAGATACTAACATTCTAATCAAAAACAGACACTAGAAAATTATTCCACTTTTTTGCTATGTGCATTATGAACAACCTAGCAAACCAATAAGTTTGTATGGGTATGTCGACAACAAAGGGGTGGAGACCAGACATGCGTCTGGTAATTCAATGTTGGAACAGAGGTCCCCCCCGTGATTACGGGTGCTGTAAAGCACCCGAAACATCGGGAATTAAAAAAGTTAACTAAAACGCGATAAAATCCGTAAAAATTAGTTTCATTCAAGAGGTGGAGTAATTAGGTCATGAAATTCCTGCGCAACCTATCCGAAATGTATCTTATAAAAAACTGAAAGGTTGGCCACTTTGCGCCTGTGTTTGAGATTGTTCGTTCATATTGGTACTAACCAATATGGTTATGGTGTCACCAATAATCCTTTCAGCCCATCTTTCCATTAAAGCCGTAAGGTAGTATTTTGCAGCTTCAGTCTATTGCAGTAATACTCCATGCACGACCCGACTTGCGACTTATATAGTGTAAGCAATTGTCCCGGCGTGAAGTATTGTCGCACCTTTGCAAGAACACCTAACTTCATTCCAATCTTCCAATGATAATTGTGGAAGAAGGAGTCAAGTGAGTTCGCTCCTTTTTGCTGTGAAGAAGCATGCTTGTGTTTTAGAGGCATTGAATATGACATGATTGGCATCGCCCGATTCGGAAAGTGAGAGATTCACGCGCTCAACCATGGCTTCTTTTTCAAACTGGATTTGATCCCGACTGGTCCGAGCACTCGGCTGATATCTCTCCAAAAGTGCTGTCACGCAGAACAAAGAGAGCTGTTGAGATCGCGGACCCTTGAGGCACTTTGGCATTAGTCGTTATTGGCTCGAAAGCGGAACCTTCGTCAACGCCCCGGAAATATCGTTCACTCAGAAAATCCTTCATTCAGCCGATCAGACAAGGGATAAGTCATAAGCTGAAAGTTTTCCCAAAAGGCTAGCAAGCGAGACCCTGTCAACGGTCATCGAGAAATAAAGAGAAACAGCAACGTACTCGTACGTCAGCAAAAGGGATAAATACTCCATCGCTTCTGGCACCACGTCGGCTATAGCATCCGCATAGCTCGATGGATCCACAAAAGAGAAAGCAGACCTCCATCGCAGATAGGATACAAAAAAGTGCTGCATCTCATCCCAATCTGCTTATATATAGCCATATTCGTTGAATACCACGGGAAACGTTATTAGGTGGGGAAATTGACGATAGAGATTCCACTAGACGTGGTCGGAAGTACCCAAATGGGAGGTAACCTGTACGTCAAACCTGCCTGGTTTAGTAGTCAGCAGAAGGTCCTAGTAGTTGGCTTCATCTTCATCAAGTAACATAGACCCTCTTTTTACCAGTTGGGAAAGGCAAATATATAAATTGCACAAGGATAAACATCCAGACCTAGAACCATAATTTGTAGGTAATACAAATAAATGTTCCGTGCGGGATTCTAACCCACAGCTCTCAGGGCATACCTAATATTAACTCAATGCTGATGTACGAAGAGGTCGGTGTCGATAGATGCGTTATAAATTTAAATTCTCACGACTATGTCTAAAATATTTCCCCCTCACCTTAATACATTGAGAACTCTCATGGTAGCAGCTGTGGATATGACAGAATCACGTCTCTTATGTGGTGGTGACGTTGGCGGCGGAGACCGAGGGTTTGATGATGCTGAAGTAGCCACAGCGAATGCTGCTGCCGCTGACGATGTACTGCTCCTAGACCGAGTACAATCATGCATTACAAAGCGTATTAAACGACAGGGATCAATTTAACCGGCGATTCTAAATTTACTCCTATGGTGTATCTTGCAAAATTTTTATTTTGATGTGAAGTTATAGAATAGTTATGGAAATGAAAGAAGTGACTAGAAAGTTGTGTTTAAAAAGTTGATGTTTGAATAAGATAAAAAAGATTATAAAGACTAAGATAAGGCATGCAAAGATGAAACATTGAATATATTACAAATATAATAAGAAAAGAAGAGAAAGAAGGAGAATAATTAAATAAAGTAGTTGAATATAAAGTAAGTTGAATATGCATGCAATGGTAATGGTGCACTTAGCTAATTTCAAAATATTTTAATAATTAAATTCCAGATGTAAGTAAAAATTTTAAGAGGATATTTGGGTAGCAAGACGTTTAAGGAAAAAGATTTACAGATTTATTGCTGTAGCGGTGTGCCCAACCGACCGAGCTAGCAAGCTAAATATTAACGATATCATCATCTCGTACTTTCCTATTTCCAAAAATGGACTGATTAATTTTTTTTATAAAGAACAATATAAAAAGCGTTGTGGCAATGTCTGTGGCAATTTTTCCCTAGATTTTTATGTTCGTTTTGTTTTGTTTGTTGGATGTCTTATAGCGGCGACATAACTTGTCCATTTTAATAATTTTAAACACTTTTTAGTTAAAAAATTAATTATTGGAAAAACAAAACATAGGCACATGACCTTAATAGATATGAATTTTATATTAAAAATATTTGCCCCAGCGTCAAAATCAAAAGGATACGTTTGTATGGACTAAATACCGCCCGGCAATCCTCTGTTTATAAGATGATTAAAAATATTTTTGAGAGAATCGCCTGCGTTTGCGTGCGGTGCAGCATACTTATCTTATGGAAAAAATTCTTAAAGCACTATTATAAGCAAATAACTATATGCTACGGTAAGCAAATATTGTATTTACTAGTATCGTCAGTGGCTCGCTCTTGTAGTGTTTACAAGCAAAAATAAATACAAAAATAATTCTTAAATTTTATATTGAAAATTATGTTTTTATTGTGTATTTTTTAATACTAGTATCGTTATTAACATTACTTATATCCCGTTTATCTAGTTAAGCTTAAAATGCTTGTGGTAAGAGTGGTTCACCACAGAGTAGTCGAATGTCGGATTTAAACCCACGATTTTTTGAGTTTGCAGTATGCAGTCCGAACCCTACCATTAAGCTACTTCACTTGTATAAATAAAATATTACTTAAATTATAAGAAACAAGTTTGTTAATAGTTGTTTACAATATCTAAATGTGAAAATATTTTCAAAGTTTTCAAAAATGATCCGTGACTTAAACTATTATTTGGATCTGTATTTTGATCGAGGACTGACAACGAAAATTTAAAAAAGGGTAATGCTCTAGGTTAAGCAAAATATTCTTCAAATACTCCACTACGGTGGCTCTACAAGGTCTGCTGTCTACAATGTTTACCTCGCCCGCTCACTCACCATAACAGGTCTTTTCCAAAGCTGTTAAATGAATTTTTCATAGATTACAAATCAGTTACAGGGTATGGCCTATTCTAAAACTAATATGAATTTGATTCGATAACAAAAACAGAATATCGTATCAAGATCCAACGAATGTTTAATGAATTAGATGGAACATCGTGCAAAAGCATTAATAGTGATACTTCCAAGAAACTCGAGATATTGGAATTCACACATGCAACACCGATAGTGAATTGTGAGCTCCCAATTGTAAACTTGGCTCTGAAGTAATCAACAAACATGATAAGTAGTTTATTATAGAATGTTTCGAAACTGATTTAATAATAGTTAGAAAATCATTGGATATCTTTTTACCTTCTGTGTGACTGTCTGAATGAAGTGATAACAACGCCAGCTCTAGATTGATTGGTTTCTCGACGATAAGTCTATAACAATGAAAAGAAAAACATCAATGAACGATCGACAATTCGCAAATTATACAGAAAAGTTGACTGAAGCTCTTATAGCCTGGGTGAAATATCGCCAACTACCTGTCTCCAGGCTGCTACTGAGAATTTCTTGACTGAAAAACTCAATAACGTACTTTTGGCCCGAAAGCAAGATTCGAATCTGGAACTTCATAATCAGCAGCTGCCTATACTAAACACAACACCAACTGGGCATTCTAACTTAACTAAATATATACGTATCTACGAAATAATGTTAACAACTCCACGGTAATGGAAGTTGTCTTAGCCGTGGTTCAAGCAAGGAAAAAATGTCCGCGCCGTTGCCTCAATGCGTATTAGTGGACTTCAAGTGTCTTCGATTTTTTTTTAAATTTCTCCGACATGTAGGTTTCTTCACGAAGTGTTCCCCGTCTTTACCGCCGAGTACGCGGTCAGGCAGCACTTAAAATCGCAATTAAGAATTTAATTGGTGCCGGTGGATATCCAACCCGAGTTTCCCGGAAGTGAAATGTACATACTTTTGTAGTTCTTTTTCTTAGTCCTCAGACCGTAAAATGCCAGTGCTGACCATGGTCAGCACTGGCATTTTACGGCATTTTACGTCGCAACGAGAGAGACCCATGGGTCTCTCTCGTTGCGGCGGGCTTACGAATTGGCTGATTGATGATCGTAGTATTAAACGTGCGCAACTTTAATGCTACTCCCGGTTGCAGGTCTGAATCTTATCATCATCATCATTACAGCCTCTCACAAGTCCACTGCTGAACATAGCCCTTTCACAAAGGATGCCATAAAGTACGGCCATAGCATTCTTTGAGAATCAGCCCTGAGCCACCTGCATCCATCGACTTCCTGCATGTTTACCAGGTCGTCACTCCATCTAATGGAGGATATATATAAATACAAAACACCCAGTAATCTTTTTAACGAAGTATAGATGAACATGTGAGCATGCCATTTATGACAGAATTTTTTTTATTGTTATAAAAAGGATTTTAGTGTTCGCAATAGAAAAGTTACAATTTTTTTAATAATTTTACTGTACCTGGGCCATTTGTGATGCTTGCGATGCAACTGAGGATCGGGACTCTGATCCTCCCCAAAAGCGGCGACTTTCACTGTTGATGGATGAGCTGGTGCAGCGCCTTTCACTATATATTTGGACCATCAATCATTCTTCAATAAATACTAGGTGATGGGGACTCTTTTGTTCCCTCTGACCTATTTTTATTGCCAACTGACAGTGCCTGCTCTGTTGTATGGCGATTTGAAGGGTATAGTGAGCTAGTTTAATTACAAACTGTGAGGCATTCGGTTTAATTCGTAAGTTGACAACGCATTTGTAGTATTCCTTGCTTGAAATTGCCTGCAGGTAATCATTGACTAAGGTAGACTCTTATCATCATCATCATCATCATCATCATCATTGTGATTACAGGCCTTCACAAGTCCACTGCTGAACATAGGCCTCCAAGGACTGCCACAAAGCGCGGTCCCAAGCCGCCTGCATCCGTTGACCTCCTTCATGTCTTACCAGTTCGTCACTCCATCTAGTGGACGCCCTACACTTCGACTGCCGGTACGAGTTGCCACTCGAGAACCTTTCTTCCCTATCGGCTGTCGGTTCTTCGAGTTATGTGGCCGGCCCATTGCCAGTTCAGCTTACTGATCCTTTGGGCTATTATTTACTTATTATTAGGTGGACTGTAAATTTTATTTAAAGTAACAAACAAAGTTTATAAAAAATACATAAATAATTTATGTGACGGAAAACAATACGAGTATATACCCGTAGTTCCGATTTATTGCAACCGTATATTCTAATCAGGTCATTCGAGGTCTTTTGTGTTGATCATGTTGTCGTTTTTTATAGTTACAATAGCGGTTTAAGTCCTCCTTGGTGGCAAAAACGAAGACCTACTACATTCTCCTGTCTTCTTTATCGTTCCATATAAGTCTACTGATGGACATTGACGTCTCCCGTTGTAGGGAGGCTTTATCTTAATCATCACACTTGGCAGGTGAATTGACAATCCCAGTGCCAGGTGTGAGCACCTTTGTCGCTGCTGCGTGACACCTATCTTGGTATTCTATGTGTGACGTAGAGGATATGATTAAAGCCACTAATTAAATTTGGCTGGCGTAGTGGTGAGGATAAGGCACCGCCCTAACGAAGCGAGGTGAAGCATGCAGTATGAAAGAAGGCAGGCGGAATGGTGAGGATAAGGCACTACCCTAACGAAGCGGGGCGAAGCGTGCGATATGAACGTTGGCAGGCATAGTGGTGAGGATAAGGCACCGCCGTAACGAGGCGGGGTTTAGCGTGCGGTATAAAATTTGGCAGGCGTAGTGGTAAGGATAAGTCGGCACCGCCGTAACGATGCGGAGCGAAGCGTGCATTATGAAAGTTGGCGGACATAGGGGTGAGGATAAGACACCGCCGTAACGAGGCGGGGCTTAGCGTGCGGTATGAAAGTTGGCAGGCGTAGTGGTGAGAATAAGGCACCATCCTAACGAAGCGGGGCGAAACGTGCGATATGAACGTTGGCAGGCATAGTGGTGAGGATAAGGCACCGCCGTAACGAGGCGGGGTTTAGCGTGCGGTATAAAATTTGGCAGGCGTAGTGGTGAGGATAAGTTGGCGCCGCCGTAACGATGCGGAGCGAAGCGTGCGTTATGAAAGTTGGCAGACATAGTGGTGAGGATAAGACACCGCCGTAACGAGGCGGGGTCTAGCGTGCGGTATGAAAGTTGGCTGGCGTAGTGGTGAGGATAAGTCACCACCCTAACGAAGCGGGGCGAAGCGTGCGGTATGAACGTTGGCAGGCATAGTGGTGAGGATAAGGCACCGCCGTAACGAGGCGGGGTTTAGCGTGCGGTATAAAATTTGGCAGGCGTAGTGGTGAGGATAAGTTGGCGCCGCCGTAACGATGCGGAGCGAAGCGTGCGTTATGAAAGTTGGCAGACATAGTGGTGAGGATAAGACACCGCCGTAACGAGGCGGGGTCTAGCGTGCGGTATGAAAGTTGGCTGGCGTAGTGGTGAGGATAAGTCACCACCCTAACGAAGCGGGGCGAAGCGTGCGGTATGAACGTTGGCAGGCATAGTGGTGAGGATAAGGTACCGCCGTAACGACGCGGAGCGAAGCGTGATGTATCAAAGTTGGCAGGCATAGTGGTGAGGATAAGGTACCGCCGTAACGACGCGGAGCGAAGCGTGATGTATCAAAGTTGGCAGGAATAGTGGCGAGGATAAGGTACCGCCGTAACGACGCGGAGCGAAGCCTGAGGTATCAAAGTTGGCTGGCGTAGTGGTGACGATAAGGCACCGCGCTAAGGAAGTGGGGCCAAGTGTGCAGTATGTATTATATGTAAGTATGTGTGTAGTATAGTACCGTGCGGTGGCGGTGTAAGATTATACACTACTTCATACCCGTGGGTGTTTCAAAAGGCGACAGAGGAAATCAAATCGAGATATGGTTGCAGCGTCTTCCTAATAACGAGTAAAAATAAAAAACTGCGGTTGCCAACTCGCTTTTCAAGCGTGGCAACTAAGGATAATATCCCTCCAATAAGGCGATCTACGAGGAAGGCCTATGTTCAGCAGTGGACTTTAATAGGCTGTAACGGTATGTATTAAGTATATGAATGTTGGCAGGCATGGTGTAGATAAAACACCAAACTAACACAGCGTGTATAGTTATAGTTGTGCGGCGTAGTGTGTATAAGACTCTTAAAGGTATTTAGCAAGTATATGAATGTTGGCACGCATGGTGTAGATAAGACACCAAACTAACGCAGAGTGTATTATTATAGTTGTGCGGCGTAGTGTGTATAAGACACGGAGCTGACGCAGCGTGAGTTATTATAGTTGTTTAGCATTAGTGTACAGTGTGTATAAGGCACGGACATGACGCAGTGTGTGTTGTTATAGTTGTTTAGCATTAGTGTACAGTGTGTATAAGGCACGGACATGACGCCGTGTATGTTGTTATAGTTGTTCGACGTAGTGTGCAGTGTGTATAAGGGCTGACATGACGCAGCGTGTGTTATTATAGTTGTTCAGTGTAGTGTGCAGTGTGTATAAGGGCTGACCTGACGCAGCGTGTGTTATTATAGTTGTTCAGCGTAGTATGTAGTGTCTATAAGGCACGGAGCAGACCCAGTGTGCGTTGTTATAATTTTTCAGCGTAGTATGAAGTGTGTATAAGGCACGGAGCTGGCGCAGGGTGTGTTATTGTAGTTGTTCAACGTAGTATGTAGTGTGTATAAGGCATGGAGCTGACGCAGCGTGTGTTGTTATAGTTGTTCAGCGTAGTATGTAGCGTGCATAAGGCACGGAGCTGACGCAGTGTATGTTATTGTAGTTGTTCAGCGCAGTGTGGCGCGTGTATAAGGGCTGACCTGGCGCAGCGCGGGTGCGCGCGCGCGGCGCCCGAGTCGGAGGCGCGGCGCGGCTCGGCGGGCGGCGGCGCCCCGCGCGCGCCCTCGGAGCGCCGCCGCGCCTCCGCCGCGCCGCACACCTGCAGCCGCCGCGGGCTCTCCGATATCGTGCGCGCACGCTGCCACAACACAACTGGCATTACCTCTTTTTTTCAACCGACTTCAAAAAAGGAGGAGGTACTCAATTCAAATGTATTTTTTTTATGTGTGTTACCTCATAACTTTTTTCTAGGTGAACCCATTTCGATGATTCGTTTTTTATTTGAAAGCTGGTGCTTCTAATGGGTTCATCAATCTTTAATAATGCGTATTTAATTTACTTCGACTGCATTGATAATGTTCTCATTTTATTTATATTGACGTCGGTTGTATAATTTTTTTCATTTTACCACTTGTAGAATAAGGGTAACAAACCAACACACAGTCCCCCTGATAGTATGTGAATTAGGTTTAAGATATTATTTATTTCCCAAAAGATTAAAAATCGGTCACAAGAAATTAAACAATTTACAAACAATAATAAAGGAGTCCATTACGAGCATACAGAATATTAACTATAAATGTGGGTAAAACGTGAACAATTAAAAGAACAGTAAACATAGGTTTGAGCATCGCGCACAAATTGTAATAACCGAACAACCAAAATGCAACCGACACGTCAATAAGGGTGCGTACAAACTAATTTACGTTTGATTTCAATTTGTATGTTTTAGCGGTTAATTTTCCAAAATATAGTGTTGCAATAATTTTTTAAAGAGTTGCAGTGTTTTTAATTCTTTTATATTTTTAGGTTAAGCGTTATACAATTTTTGAACCGTCAAACATTATATTTTTCTTACCATACTCTGTTCTGAGTTTTTGTATGTACATATATCATGGGCTCGTCTTTGGTTACGCTTGTAAAAATCTGTATTTTTTTTAAAATAATATTTGCGAATGAATGTCGTTGTTAAGTATTTTACGCATTAACGTGCAAGTATTATATCTCTGCGCCCAGTTTTCACTAAAGGGGACGCTTCCGATTCGCCAGAAAGGCCATACAGGCCAATGCCAGTCCCACAGGTGGTGTTTAGTAGGTAGGCACTTCTTCAAAGTGAATCCCACATAACCACGCAGCCGGCTGCCGTTGTATACTATGAGCATTCACCACCTCCCTCCCCCGCTTCCGGAGGGAAGCCTTGCAGTGGGCGCAAAAAAGTATAATATTGATATATTGAAGGAGTGAAAGCTGTGACCCATAGGCACCTACAGCTATCTTCGATTAAGGATCAAAATGCAGATGTGGGAAGCCTTGCAGTGGGCGCAAAAAAGTATAATATTGATATATTGAAGGAGTGAAAGCTGTGACCCATAGGCACCTACAGCTATCTTCGATTAAGGATCAAAATGCAGATGTGTGTCACCACTGAGGACTAAGATGGAATGCCTCGTTTTCAGTAAAAAGGGTCTCCGGTCCTCTATACTCACCATACGAAACACAGCAGCATTAAGATGCCATTTTAAGCTGGTATACCTCTTTTTACTACTTTGTAGAGGTGGTGTAAGAAAATTATAAAAAAAGGTGGGAAAAATAAGGCATAAAGATTGTAATAAATATTCACACAATATTCGAGCTTGTGATATACCTTATCCCACACAAAAAACGCAAAAATTAGAAGTTAAATAAAAGTCGATCTTAAAAATCTAAAATTAATAATACAACATCCACAAAAAACGTCGGAAAATCGGGGAAAATAAAATGTCTTAGTGCCAATTTCTGAACCTGGAAATTCTTTTATTCTTTTTAGTTTTGTTTAAGTCGAAATACTTAATAAACAACTTGCAACTTGGCTGACTCGTCGCTCTCTTAGCGGTTAACCATTGCAGAGCCGTTTTCCTAATGACTAGGGAATCTCAAATTGAGGGCGATTCTCCTCAAATCAGGTACTACACATCGTTTTATAATTTTCACGCGCATCATAGCTAATTATTTTAACATATTTAACGCGTGTAGGCTCATTTGGCTTTCTTCTTTGGGCTTATTTCCTTTATTTACTTAGATTAATATCATATTTATATATCATTGATATCATATTAATAAATTATTTTTATTCAACAAAGAAGTTAATAACCGTATTTTTTTTTCAAAATAAACGTTAAGACTGGATCTGAGGTTTATCACCAAAGCATATATAAATGTTTTTGCAAACTTTAAAACTTATTCCATGGGTACAAACGACATTTTGAGCTTTTGATTTCGGCTATAAAATTGATAAAATCCGATCCGAATGGGTGCCAATCACCATAGCAATTCCATGAACTATATACATTGTACATACATTCCTATAGTCCCCGAACGGCATTTGTACAGAAATTCGCCTTTGAGGATTTCGATGATTTCTTTTTTTTTTAAAGCTGGTGCTTCTCATGTAGTCCCATATAAATTTGATCAATTATAAAATATTGAATTAATTTGATCAATTATATAATATGATTTATAAGATATTGAGTTATCCTTAATAATGCGTATTTAATTGACTTCGATTACACTGATGTTGTTCTCATTTTATTTATATTGAAGTCGGTTGTACAAAATGTTTAATTTTACCACTTTTGCGCTTTATATTACTTGATGGGTATATAAAACAGTGCAACAAAGCAACACGAAATTAATTAAAAGATTTAAAAGTTACTACTTATGAAAATTTGTATTCACCTCTGAAAATCTCTGCGATATTTTGAAGTTCTCATTAGGTTTAGGTTTGTTTTTCTCTTGTTCCTCTTCCTTGTACTTGATGTCTTCGTCACTCTGACTAACCAGCTCGATGCTCTCGTCCTTCATAAGGGCCGCCGCAGTGTTGTTATCTTTGGTCGGCGGTGATTTGTTGTCACTTTTTGCTAAAGTGTTGTCAGGGCTCGTTTTCTTCGGGCTGCCCACTAGCGTTACTGAACTTAGAGCGCCGGGCGAGGATGGTGATGTCCCTTTAATTAACATAGTATAATGATTTGTGGTCTTAAATATATACAGTAATTTATTCGTCTAAATTATTTTATAATTTGGTAGTTGACACCATCATTAATAAATTACTTCATCATATGTTAATACATGAAGGAGGCATATATTCATCAGTAGACTTTAGATATATTAGATAATGCCTGTTACGGTAACGGTATAAGTAGCGGCACGCAAGCCTAGCGGTGACCGTTTTTGCGCATAAGTCGAAAATAAGGTATCATGGAGTAGTAAGCGGGTGGCAGGGCGGGTGTGCGTAACGTTCGCACGCGCTGTTTGGCTCTCCAGTCACATTCGTGGAATTTAATTCGTGCGTGACAGTAGGTACCCATGCGCAGTTATCTCCTCCATGTTCCATTCAGCGCTAGACTTACGTGCCGCGACTAATAAGTAATAGTAAATCTGAAATGATATCCTCAATTCTTTTTCAGTAACACCAACAGTTAAAACAGTAGAATATTGCAATTTTTGTCCATAAATTTATTTTTTAATCTCGATATATAAAAATCAATTGCTGTTTTAGTCTCGCTAAAACTCAAAAACGGCTCAACAAATTTTGATTAAAAATTTTGTGTGTATATGAATAGGTCTCAGATAATTTAGATTTACATTTGGACCCGGTAGGTTGCGCTGAATAGAATAGAATAGAATAGAATATGTGTCGAGATCCAGTAGTCACCCGTGCGAAGCTTGTGAGGATCGATAATTTTTAATAAAAAAATATTCTTATAGATATCAATCTAGATGACACATACCTTTAAATTACTAAATTACCTTTGAGTGTCTCATTGCTAGAAGAGGTCGCCATGATCTTCGGTATAGTCAGATGACTGTTGTCCTCTTCCACCTTTTACAGTTAGCATAAGACAGACGAGACAACTAATAAGCACATGTTACTTCAAAAGTTTGGCAAATATAAAAGTTTACTGTTGAAATTTGACATACCTTGCTCACTGTAGACGGGCGCCTTGAAGGTGCTGTCAGGTAAGGGGAGAGTTTATCCTCCTCTTCACCTAAATGATAAGTAATATTTTTAATCTCTATTATTTTACAAAAGTAAAGTAACAAACGAACTCATAGTCCGCCTGATGGTAAGTGGCTACTGCTGTCCATGGACACGACAGCCATGCTGCAGCTATATTACTAATATAGTTGTAGCACGAATTGGTCGGCTCGACTGGGGAAGGACCACGTTCTCACAGAATACGTTTCGAATGTTCATTTATTTATGGTGTCTGTGGGCACAACAATCATTTACCATCAGGTGGACTGTGTGCTCGTTTGTCACTCTTATAGATTATTATCTCTTATATATATATAAAAAAAACACCTTCAGCCAACTTCAGACAAAGAAGACTACATATTTTTGTCACCTTGGAGGACTAAGATGGAATACCTCACTGCTTATAATTATACTGTCTCTTTAAATTCTTCAGAGCGGAAGACAGCAGTTCAAGCTCTGCTATTTGACCTAGTAGAAAAAGAGTTCCATCAACTGGTAAAATATATCTTTATATATGTATCCTGTATTTGTATGTATACAACAGGTAACAAAAACCCTGTGGTTCCCGTTGAGTGCGTTATCAGAATTAATATTAAAACGTATAAAAAGAACTTGAATTCAGATAACTAGATCATATTTTTTTTATTAAATCGAAATCAATATTTATTTGCAAATTTTATGTTGTTTTATTATCTCAACTAACATGCGCATCGGTAAAGCAGCGTCTTTGACAATACACTTACACCCCGGCTAATACAGAGGTAATACAATCCATCCACATACAATTTTCAAATAAAAAATGTATTTAGTTTTCTATGCGTCTCGTACTGCAGTATATCTCATGATCCGTAATAGGTAGACAATTTTCACAGAATGTGTATTTCTGTTGCCGCTATAAAACAATATAAAAAATTTAATTAAAAATTAAAGGGGCTCCCCTACTAGAAACGTGTTTTACGATGGTACGAAACCTTTCATGCGCGAGTCCTACTCACACTTGGCTGACTTTTCTAACTTGACAATAAAAAGTCTAAAGTCTTTCCCCACAAATTGCTATATAATTGGTAACGGTAGTACTTTATAATTTTTATTGTTATCAGGAACATACTGGTGCCCATCTTTTTTTTAAGGAGGCCTATGTTAAGCAGTGGATTTTGATAAGGTGATGAAAGCACTGCAACATTTTAATTCACAAGAGAACAAAATAAATAATAAGTTCAAAACGTAATAAAGCAAATCGTGCGCTTTTATTTGGTTATAATTAATTTCATTTTCAGCGCTCTAGGTTACCATGTGGCATTACGCTGAGCCAAAACTTTTTCACAGGATCCAATTAAGCCACTCGATATACACTCATTATTATAATTCTTAAACTTTCCCATGTGGAACATTGGTGCGTCTTAGCAGTAGAACCGACTCGTATGTCGTGACGGCAAACGGCATGACGCTCTCTTATGCCGTCATACCCCGCTACCTACGCCTACCGCTCTCGACTGCCATGTGTGTGTGCGCGTATACCTATACATTTCGTTACTTCTCTGTGCGAGTTGTGTACTGCGTGTTGCTTTCTATTCGACTGTAGTCATTGAGTTATATGTACTACGTACTAGATAAGCCATTCCGAACATTGACTATGTTCAACTGAACTGTAGTGCAATCTATACAAACTAAATATTGCATTAATTGAAGATTTGTGAATTCCATAAGATAATTATTATTAAATTTTATTTAGAAATATGTTTGTTTAGATTAAATTAAGATATTTTATAATAAATTCTTATATTTATTTTATATTAATATCTTATTTTATATTAAATTAAAATCTTCGCGCATGCGCGACTACTACTCCCGCGCATGCGCGAAGACATAGAGTAGGACACAATTTTTGTTTGGAATGGCTTCCCAAGTACGTAGTACATATAACTCAATGACTGTAGTACACTTGACGTTTTTACCGCTTGTATAAACACTTTGTAATTATTATTTTTAATATTATTTTATTTACTTTTAATTTATATTTCTTTATTGATTTTTATTAATTGTAAATTCTAAAATCAACTGTTGCTTAATTAATATACATCTGCCGGACGTCCCGTGACGCCCATGTTTTTTTTACTGTAATTTGTATTTTCTTTTCCTCTATCGTCCCGTAAAAGGGCCAGCCCTGGACACGGGCCTCTCCTGGAGGATTGTCTGGAGGATTTGCCTTAATCGTCATGCTTGACAGGTGGATTGACGATCGAACCATACGTACGATGCGAGCACCTTTGACGTTGCTGCTAGTCCCCAGTCTGAGTAATTCACGTCTGGTGTAACCAATTTGTTTACATCGCCATCTATCGGAAGTCATAAGACCTTTCAGACATATCCAGTAGTTTCCTTTAATGACACTCACGGAACGAAACGGGGTGTTGGATTCTGTTATATGCCTCCATTAAGCAATTTGATGTGAACGGTATCATTGAATTAATTAATTCATTACAGCCTAGCAATGTTTTTCTTTATAGAATTAGGGTGACAAACCAGCACACAGTCCACCTGATGGTAAGTGTTTGCTGTGACCCATAGACATCTACATATATCTTCGTTTGTGAATTAAAATGCAGATGCGTTGTCAGCCGTGAGGACTCAGATAGAATGCCTCTTTTCCAGTAAAATAGGTCTCCGGTTCTCTACACTCACCATACGAAACACAGCAGCGTTAAGCTGCTATTTTACGCTGATATTATGTGAGAGCGTGGTCCTTCCCCGGTCGAGCCGATCCATTCGTGCTACAACTAAACTATTAATATAGCTGCAGCATGGCTCTACCAGTCCGCTGCAGAACAAAGACCTTCCCATAGAATGTTTCATAAGTCAGTTTGCCATATACCGTGTAGTGGCGGTATATGAATATTCACTACCCATATCGTCCCGTGGGTGTCGTAAGAAGCGACAGAGGGTAACAAACCAGGGAAGCGAGAGGTGGGCAGCAGCGTCTTCTTAATAGCAAGTAGAAAAATCTTGCGGTTGCCAACCCGCCTGCCAAGCGTAGCAACTATGGCAGTGACTAAATGTTTTTTTTTTAATTTAAATCATAGTTTTGATATAAAAGAACGCATTAATAATATCTCACTCTTTCTTGAAGTTTTCCAGAACCTTGACTGCCAGTCTCGATCACTGAATTCCGAACCGTACCCTGAAAATAATAATAAAGTCATCTAAGCATTATGGTTTTGTTCTTTTTTTTCTAAAAACGTTAACAGTAGTATTTTTCTGTATCGTACATAGAAGTCTTTGGGCGCTGAGGACCGTGGGCTTAAATCCCGTAAGAAACAAAACATTAACGTCTTACGGAATTTAAAGCCACGGTCCGCAGCGCTCAAAGACTTCTATGCATAATAATAAACGGGCTCTGCGGCCTTAATACACTGCGCACCAAGTTACGGTCGATTCTCCGTAACTCCTTTAGTCGACTGTTGACTGCGATCGGGCGAGGAGACTAGTTCTATGTTTTGTAAACCGCGAACGTTGTTTTCGACAATCCAATACTCATTTTGTTTAATGTGATTAAGATAACGCTGTTTTATTATTTATGTGCGTACATTGTCAACGTGATTGAAGTATATTTAAAATAAATGTGTATGTAACTTTATTTCGTATTTGCCTAACAATATTAACTGTCGTAAAGTATCTAAATTTCATTAAATTTTGATACAATATTAGAAAACTAAAATAAAAAAAGAACTTGAACCAATAACTTAATTATCATACAGTCTTACTTCCCTTGGTATCGTGCCAAGAACGCAGGCTGCATTTCCTCGCTGAATATATAGAATATAAAGCTATGCTTAGCCTTTGAGCGCGAAAAGAACTAACCCTCTTATCACCAGCAGCAACGACGAGTCACAGATAGAGTTTATTTAGGAACTTCACCGCAAGTGGACCCCACGGACCGATAGTTTCTACAGCAAATGGCACAAATATGTCGTCATCTCTCAGAGACTCATATTTGCGCCACTTATTCAGTTCAGCTGCCTTTGATGCCACCCTTGCTTTGAGCGAGGTGCCCCTGAGATGAAAAACTACTAAAGTATCTTTGCAAGTAGTATCCCACACTAAAGATTTATCTCTATCCCATGCATCCAAAGTTATACAGTCGGGTCTCCTGTCGTCGTCTTTGAATATTCTACAAAGCTCTAAAACCGAGGGAACAATTATAGAGACACGAGATCTTCAGATGACGTCGTTCAAAGAACAACATTACATTCATCGTCATCGTCATCATTACAGCCCTCCACAAGTCCACTGCAGAACATAGGCCTTCCCCAAGCAATGCCACAAACTGCGTGGCATATTTAGCGTGCCAGCTACCCACTAATCTGGCGTTAACGTACGCGCGATCATCCTCAACAGTCACCTTACTTAATGACTGTTGATAAATTTACTGAGCATGTTTACAATGGAATAGGTGTTACTAATGTTTGTGCAAAAACTAAAAGTATAAGAACAGTATCGAGAATAGAGCACTCTCTTACGTTGTGAGACGTGCAATTATGTATAGATTTATTTATGAAGTAAACAAAGGATAATTTTAAATGAAAGAAATTTTTCGGTTTAAAAGTAAAGTAAAACTCGAAACGTCGGGACTCTCCCGCCTACCGGACACGGAGCTGGCGGCGCTGGTCTTGCGCGCGGCGTCTGGCGGCGGCGGCAGGTCGGGCTCCTGCTGCGACTGCTCGTAGAACACCTGCTTCAGCGCCTCCAGCACCGTCACGCCGTCCGTGAACACGCGGTATGTCAGCAGGAACGTGTTCAGGAAGTCGACCGACAGAAACCGTAGATCTGTAAACGTAGAGCGAGATCATGTTGCCAGAAAAAGTGACAGATCTTTAATTTAAATAATATAAAACTGCTACCACCTCATGAGCCAGCTAGAGTAAAATGTTAACGCCAGCAGAAATGTACGGTTTGGGTGTACATATGGTGAATCGCACTATGGCGTCACGAAGTGAGGCGTACCAGTGAGCCGCTGCAGCAGGCGGTGCGGCGTGGCGGATCGGATCTGCGGCACCTTGCAGGAGTTGAGCGTGCGGCTGAAGCGGATGTCCACGTCGTCGGTGAAGAGCGCGCGGTCGGAGCGGCAGGCGGGCAGGCTGGCGGACGCCGCGCCGCACGCGCCGCACGCGCGCAGCAGCTCCGTCAGCGCCGCGCTCTCCATGCACTGCGCCAGCTCGCTCGTCCACGCCGCCTTCTCCTCCAGCGTCGACGCCACTGTCACACATATACGTAGTACAGCCATGCTGCAGTTATGTTAGTAGTATAGTTGTAGCACGAATGGGTCAGCTCGACCGGGGAACGGCCACGCTCTCACAGAATTCCAGCGTAAAATGGCAGCTTGACACTGCTGTGTTTCATATGGTGAGTGTAGAGTGTAGTATAGATGTGGATGTCTATGGGTCACAGCAACCACTTACCATCAGGTGGACTGTGTGCTCATTTGTCATTCTATCCTATAAAAAAAACGCGTTCAACACTCATTTCAAATTCGACTGACGAACAAACTTACAGTCGACTCGATACTAAGGGACTACTGCAGGTGCAGCTAATCAAACAAACAAGGCTACAGATACATAGTCACCTATGCGATCTAGATGTCATACACAGACACAGACTGTAATAATGACATAAACATTGGCGGCAAATTTTACATTGTGGGAATGAAAGTTAACTTAACCTTAACATTTTAATGATGCCAGCAATAATTTTGTAAATTCTAAAAATTAGATTTAATGACATTAAAACTAAATACTGTAGAGTAAAAATCTAACCCTTCTAAGTCTCAAGTCGTCTAATCTAAGGGGGAACCTTATCAATCCCATTCCCCAGGGTTGAACAAAGGACATACTATGCACCACAGCCGTACGTACGGAACGTTATATCTATGAATACAGTTGTGGTCTCGCGTCGAATTATTAATAAAATTTTGAACATGCTACGTTTTGTCTAATTTTATCTCTTTATATTTCCTAAATATTATTTTGTTTACGTCATATCTAAACAAAAATATAATAATAATAATTATTATAATATAATAATATTTATGTTTGTTTATATCTTTCGTTTACAATTATACTTTAAAACTTTATAGATAACCCAAATAATAATAATATTTATTGTTTTACACATAACTTATACAGACACAATGTCTCTCTCTCTCTCTCTCTCTCTCTCTCTCTCTCTCTCTCTCTCTCTCTCTCTCTCTCTCTGTGTGTGTGTGTGTGTGTGTGTGTTTGTGTTTGTGAGTGCGTGTTTATGTGTGCGTGTATAAGCGTCTTATTCTTATATAAGTATTATTTAAACGAAACAATAAGATTTTCAGTTGCGTCATAGTCAAAATTAATTAACCACTTTAATAATATTCGTTTAATATTATGATTCCTTAGATCGTGTTTAATTTTTTTGTATAGTAATGCAGCAGAATTTTGGAAGTGTCTTCTAGCGAAGTTGCTCTTATAGGCAGGCAATGGATAACGGACGGTCATCGTACACTTATTTGGAGTTGAGAAACATTAGTTTTGTGATATTTACGAATAGACTGGAAAATGCATAATGTTTGTAAGTCCTCAGTCGGGTGTTTAAAAGGTAGGCCTATTAGACACCCGCCTTTTCAATAAAGTGCACTGAGCACGTTCGACTTCAATGAGGTGTGTTTTAGCTGCCCCACCCAACGAACTAATGCAGTAAGTAATTACACATTCTGCAAGGGTTTTTATAAACCTTCATTATAGCTTCATTATCTAAAACATCTCATATATTTTTAAACACATATATGAGCTTCGTTATTCTGTTATTAACCGCAGTATGTGTGCCAACCAATTTAACTTGTCATCAATTATTACGCCCAAATATTTTACATTGTCACTATGCAATAAGTGTGGACAGTTGCAGTCAGGTGTGGTTAATGGAATCCTATTACAAGGATATTTATGTATGACTAATTTTGAATTTACACTCGGCTTACTAGCATTAATAATACTAAATTTTAAGTACTTTATTTTAGGAGTATTAAGTGATAGTAGGATGTCTTCCAGCCATGAAGTAACAGTTTCTAAATCTTCTCCAGCTGACCTGTATACTGAGTTCCAAGTACGTTCCCAAAATAGTAGTACAGTATCATCTGCAAGCATCTGAATTGTTGCACCGTTTACTACTGTACACACAGGTCATTAATGTAGATCAAGAACATTGTAGGGCCCAGTGTACTTCCCTGTGGAATACCGTAAGTATAGTATGCGCTATCACTTAGTTAATTATGAAGTCGTACGTTTTGTTTTCTTTCACACAGATAATCTTTAAGCCACATTAATGGGATACCGCTTATGCCAAGGCCTTCCATATGTGCTAGAAGGATGGGAATAGACACAGTATCAAATGCGTTATGAAGTTCCGACTGAAGATTATTGACTATTTATGATGTAAGATTTTCAGCAGCATCAACCATAGATCGTCCGCATCGAAATTCAAACTGGTTATTGGGTATAAATTTTAGGTGTTTCAGATATCATAAAAGTATTTTATTTACAATTTTCTCCATAACCTTAGATAAGGAGGTCAACAATGAAAAGGACCTATAGTTGGTGGGAAGTCTTATGTCACCTGATTTGTATATGGGTGTAACTATTGCTCTTTTGAATATATTAGGAAAGGTTTTGAGCATATCAGAAAGAAAGGTATTAAAGCTCAGGTTACACAAATTTGAGACAGGTTCAGGCAAAACATGACAACTGTCCTTCAGTATCCTACAAGGCATGTTACCCCAGCCAGGTGCACTGAATTGCCTGATGTCCTTTATGGTACTAAATACTTCCAACGGGTAAAATACAAATGAGTTTAGCGGAGCACTTTTTGTAAACATTTTGGATGCTAATTGAACGTCTGTAGTATTTAATAATAATACACGCTACTTGCTACAGCGTTCCTACGCTGTAGCAAGTAGCGGTAAATGTTCTGAAAGTAGGAATAAACTGATCACACGCACACAGTTGCCCAGGTTAGGGTTATCCAAAGTGCACCGATGAACATAGGCCTCCCCGATAGGCCTTATCCAAAGTGACCGAGTCATCTAATTTAATAAAATACCTCATAATCTTTTACTTACATATGAGATACATGTAATATAGATATGTAAACTCTAAAGCCTGTCATTCATACGGATAGGTAGAGACTACGGATTTTCATTTGGCCCGACTCTGACAAATCTCTCTCGCTTCTTTGATATACATACATATTACTTAGCGTACATGCTGGTCAGTTAAGGGTACTCTTACTTTGGCCTTTCTTCAATATATCAACAATTTGGTCAAAATAATTACATCTAGGACGTCCCTTGTGACACTGCCTAAATGGCAGTTCAGTTGGCTTTTACGTTCTACGTCACTATTTCTTCATTTATTTTGTCTACGCGCCCAAGCCCCTGAAGTTTTTGAAAATGTTTCGTATTTTTTTTACTTACCCAAATGAGCACAGATCTGCTCCCCTTTGACTTCGACAAGGATTTTGAAATCCTTGCCCTGATAAGGGTCCCCGCCAGGCGATGAACATACAGAAGTGGAATCTGAAATATTCATATTATATTAATCGACAGTTTAGTAAATTTAACAAATTATCTAAATGTATGTACCTATGTACGTACTCACACGCATACACGTGTATTAGTAAGGCCATGTTAGGAAAATTATGAAATTTTCCTATGAGTATGGACCGAGAGCCTGACACAAGTGTTTTAAAATTAAGGCACTTAAAATATTTTATACATGGTAAAGCCATGCTGCAGCTATATTAGTAGTATAGTTGTAGCACGAATGGCTCGATTCAACCGGGGAAGGACCACGTTCTCATAGAATATCTATATTAATAGACCGATACGACTTAAGGAACTTCAAGAAAAGAGTTTACACCTTTCTAAAAGGCCGGAAACGCATCTGCAATTCCCCTGGTGTTACGGTTGTTCATGGGTGGCGGTAGTCACTTACCATGAGATGAGCCGCATGCTCGATTGCCCCCTCTTCTATAAAAAAAAGCTGCAGCGTAGCTCTATCACGCGCGAAACAAAATTGTTCCAGTAAATTTCTATTTTTTCTTCTGGAACTGCGGCATTCCATATTCCGTTAATAGTATTTGATACCGTCGTCATCGTGGTTGGACGGGTCCTCGAGCAGCAGCGCGTCGTGCAGCGGCAGGCGGGCGCTGGGCGGCAGGTGCAGGCGGCCGCCCGCCGCGCGCGTGCTCAGCAGCAAGTGGTTGCTGAACAGGAACGCCTGTCTGGCCTGCAGCGTTGCACGGCGACCTTTGCCGACCACTTGCGAAAGAGTTCCTGTCAATGTATTATTAATCTATGAGACGTTAAAAAAATATTAATTCCATTCAGTGATATGTTTATTGACGCTAACAGGATTTATTTTGTATCGTTTAAAAAATGTTACTCGTATTATCGACCGGTATTCTACGGGCAAACTTTTCAAGATATATTTTTAAAAGAAAGTTCAAAGTTCATTAGGTATTCATATTATTATGTTTGTTATTGCCCTATACCACCGACGCTGCAAAAATATGTTTAGATCGCGAAATTGTTAGTATTTTTTTAAATTAAAATACTAACTACTAACTGTGTTATAAAAATATATATATAGTTGGAATTACTATTTTGAGTTCAAAAATAAAGTAGCTTCTGAATCGAAATTCTCGCCTATTTAAATAAAATAAAATAAAATAAAATCCACACCGGTTTGGAAAACAATACACACTCAGAGAAGGACTTGCAAGAAACTCTTTATAGCTTGTATGTCCGCTGTTTTCTTTATAGTGTACTTCTTAGATTTTAGGGGCTCTTTACGAAGTCAGTTTCTTGATTTAAATATTTATCAGTTATTTTTACACCTCACACAACGAATATCGTATCATTTAATAAAAACACAGAGTTTCAATAATTACCACGCGGAATTTCGCACATCGAGACTACAATCACAAAATCTACTTACCTCCTGATGAACTATGTGCTCGTTTGTTGCCCCTTTTCAATAAAAAACATACATTTGTTGGTTCTTTAGAACTTTATCAGTTTCAACAACGCATTGATAACTTGCGGTTGACACTGTGATCTACCTAATATCACTAAGTTACTATGTCAAAAAGTAGTTATGTATGATGCAAGACAGTACCTTGACGTATAAAGACTTGGTTAACATCTAGCAGTATGTCACAACCCTCGATGATCATGCGCTCCACTGCTAGATTCTTCCGCAAGTTCTCAGTCTCGCTAACCTAAGAGCAAACCAAAATTTAAATTAATTATAAACTTGCTCTATAGACTCCACTTTTAGCAGGCGTAATTTTTTTATCATTTAGTGTTTTATCATACATGTGGTATTTTTTACGTGGTAGAGCCACGCTGCAGCTATATTATCATTGTAGCACGAATGCGTCGGCTCATCCAGGGTAGGACCATGCCCTCACAGAATACCAATGTAAAATAGCAGTTTAATGCTGCTGTGTTTCGTATGGTAAGTGTAGAGACCCTTTTTACTGGAAACGAGGCATTCTATCTCAGTCCTCAGGGGTGACAACGCATCTGCATTTTGATTCTTAATTGAGCATATAATGTATAAGGTCGGAGAAAAAGTTTCTACGTATTTTATATACAAATTCAAGACATTTTCTTTCAATTTGTTTAATTACATTTAATTAATTATTTATGTGCCACTTTGTTCGATATCTTGTTACCATCTTGTAGGTAGTGACATAATCCTGTTGCTGTAGAAATCTTGGGATTTTTGAAAAATAAATACGACAAGTAGTTTTGACAGTATTCTCTTGCTGTTAACCTAACACCGCTCAAAGAATTCTGAAGAGACCGAAACTGGTGAAAATCTGATGATCTCATAATAATCGATGCCCTTCCAATACCACCATAAACACAGCATCTCCTTATAGCGTTTTAATCCGGGTTTCTCTTTTGTCTGTGGAGCTTCACTACCCTTTGACCATGATCTTTTTCACACGTTCTTGTCGTGGGTGATCCACTTTTCATCACCAGTGATCAACCTTTTCAAAAATGGTTCGGTTTCATTACGTTTCAATTGAGAATCGCAAATGAGTACACGATTCATTAGGTTTCTTTCAGTGAGCTCGTGTGGTACCCAAATATCGATCTTTTTTGTATAGCCAGGCTTTTTCAAATGGATCAAAAATAGTTTGTGGTCAATGTTCGATTCCTCGGCTATGTAGTAAGTACTAATCGAGCAGAGCGAGCTGCATCTTAGGTATCAAAATTCCTGGACAGAAAACACTTGAACGAACTTTGTGCTACTCTTACTGACACTGTAGATAGGTCCATAAACGTTACAATTTTTTTTACGGCTTGAGTCGCATTTTTCCCTTTTTTGTAATAAAATTTCAGAATGTATCCAATTTCTGTACTATATGTATTGATATTAAAACCAGCCAGATACAAACAGTACAGTTTTTACGTGGTAGAGCCATGCTGCAGCTATATTAGTAGTATAGTTGTAGCACGAATGGGTCGGCTCGACCGGGGAAGGACCACGCACTCACAGGATACCAGCGTAAAATAGCAGCTTAACACTGCTATGTTTCGTATGGTGAGTGTAGAAAACCGGAGAACCTTTTTACTGGAAAAGAGGCATTCCATCTTAGGTTTTTTTTCCTCTGTCGCCTCTTACCACACTCAGGACGATCTGGGATAGTGGATAATCTTTCACCACAACTTCGCGGACAAGTTGATGTAAATATGATCATCATTATCATCATCATTAGAGACCTTGGACTTGTAAGGCCGCCGCCCCCAAGGAATGCCACAAAGCATGCTCCTGAGCCACCTGTATTAATTGACTTCCTGCTTGTCTTACCAGTTCGTCATTCCATCTAGTGGGGAGCTGCTCTATATTTCGCCTACTTGGTGTACGAGACTCCACTCTTCCTTTTTGCCCATCGGTTGTTCTGCGAGCTGGTTAATTGCCACTTCAACTTAATAATCCGTTGGACTATGTCGGTTACACTGGTTTTACTGCGGATATCCTCATTTCTGATGGGCGTCATGTCATCATCTGTATTTTGATTCGTAATTGAGTGTATATGGGCAACAGCATCCACTTACCATCAGGTGGAGTGTGTGCTTGTTAGGCACCCTTATTATAAAAAAAATATGACTAACAGGCGTCAATTGGAATGTACGCAGCGCCCCGTCTATTTCTTTCTATTGGTCCGAGACGGTAGTAAGTATATAAGTATGTGGACGGTCACCTCATCGTGCATCTGGCGGGAGAGCTCCTCGAGCTGCGCGCGCGCGTGCTGCAGGCTGCGGCGCTCCACGTGGTCGTACGGCGTGTGCGCGAGCAGCTCGTGCAGCGTGATGATGTACCGTGGGATCTGCGCACAAAAGTTGCAGCCTATATGCGTCCCACTACCCAGCACAGGCCTACTCTCATTTCTGAGAGGGTTTTAAGGCAAAGAAATGATGTCGGCCGCGCTACCCCAATGCGTGTTGGTAAACTTCACACGTCTTCACAATTTTTTTTTATTTCTAATACATGCAGGTTTCTTCACGAGTTTCCCTTCATCGCTGAGCACGAGCTAAATCAGCACTTAAAATTGCAATTAACAATTTCATTGGTGCCGACGGGGATCGAAACCTGGTTGCTCGCAAACTGTAAAATTCAGCCTTCGACATAATTTTTGGGGATTAGTAATTTTATCCTATTCGTTAGAAGTACAGGCTACAACGACCACTTTGATCAGGTGAACTGTGCGTTTGTATGACAATTAACGAAATGAAGTTCTTAATTAAAGCTATTACTTCTAAATACTATTTCACCTGATGCATTGGGTACGTAAGGAATGTCTCCAACGATCGACCCTGACATGCAGGCTTGCTCTCCAGCCTTGCTAGTAGGTGCGCGAAGGGCTGACTCTGCTTGCACTCAGTCAGCACTTGCAGCGAGTAGTGGTGGTTGCGTACGTACTCCTGGTAGATGGTCAACATCGGCAGCAGCATGTCGAACAGGTCTCCTGTATCCAAACAGCTACTAAGTATTTTTATATCAAAACATATTTTTTATATATTACATTAACAAAAGTTCAGGTATTACATAGTATATAACATGGAATCCAAATTATTCTTTACTGCAATAATAATCTTACCTAGTACTAGCGTCGGCCAGGACTCCATCCTTGATGTTAAACCTTTGAAGAAGATCTGATGTAGGAATAGAACTGTTTCACTATTCAGGAATATCGAATTCACATCTTCGTGAGTGCATGGTGGCTTTTTTGAACTGGCCGCCATTTTGAACGGCCGAAGAAAACATGTCACCTTTGAAAAAACAATCAGTTACCTGTTATTAGGAAATAAAAGAAAGAGCAAGGTGTTGTAAGAAAAGAAAAGAAAGAGCAAGGAAGATGCCATCCAATCAATTGACATTTTCCTTGACCAAGCACAAGCTTTCGATACAGTTAATATTCCTATCTTAGTAAATAAGCTAGAGTCTAGAATACATAGATATTCGAGGTAAGCAGCTTTTTCTTTTTCAAACTATTTAGAAAATCGACACCAATGTTTAAAAATCGATAAAGCCATCAGCTATGAACAAAAATTACTCGTTTTAGGGTGCCCCAAGGTAGAGTTAAACCTATTTTTGTTATAAAAATGACCTCTGCAATCTCATATCTAACTCAGGTAAAATAATATATTATGCTAATGATACCATGCTCCTATTTTCCAGAAACGCAGTAGACAAGGTTTATTTATGTGCACAGCAAGAAATTGATAGTGTAAGTAGGTGGTTGCAGCAGAATATATTAACATTGAATACGGACAAAACTAAATATATTTATTTCTCTATGCGCAGCATTTAAAAACAACATAGGCCATCTGTGAAGTAACTAATGTCAAAATGTAATTCTAACATGGCTACAAAATTTGTCATCCGAACCCAAGTATATTATATAGACCTCTTAGATTATTTGTAAATAATCTAAGATATACCTATTATTAAGTGGCGAAGCTTGCGAAGTCACTAATTGATTTCACGATGTCTATCCGTCTGTCCGTCTGTCCCACGATTATCTCGAGAACAGTTTTGAATTTTCAAATTCTGTTTTCAGCAATCGATTACTTATCACCTAGACATCTGAACCTCCTATTTTGAAACTGATTGCTCAACGGCAACCGTTAGAAACCGCTACAAAGCTGATTGCTTCGCCACTTTGCTATGCTGTTAGCTTGCTAGGTTTATTATAGACTTTTTTAAAATAAGACTGGGTTTGAATTCTAATATAATGTTCAGATTATTAACATTAAAATTAAATAAATTAAAAGAAAATATGTTTCACAGAATAACAATTATCATCAAAATAAGGCAGATATTATCAGCAACTTATCAAATAGTGCACTTACTAATATTTCCATTTGCTCCAGGTATTCCTCTTCGGCTTCTACCATTTTGAAAACTAAGCTGAAATAAGAGCAATTATTATAGCTTCCTGTATACACCATTACAAATTAATATATTATCTCTTCTCAACTTACATTGCTTCAATCACTTCTTAGATTAACGTTAACTAAACCCTAGTTACCTACGGTACTACACGGCTAGAAATAACTACATAATTTATCTTTGTTTTTACCTATTTCTTTTTCTCATGCTCTCTGCATGTGGGCTCTTTATGTACTGATCCACGATCTGTTTCCACCGACGTCGGCACAGCCATCCACGGAAAAAGCTCTAAACAAAAATTATTAAGTACATATACTTTGTAATAAAATTGTTTAAGAAAGAATAGATTCCAAGAGCATTACTATCACTGTGTATGTGTATATGTATCACTACAGTCCGTCATAAGTACACTGCTGAACATAGGCCTCTCACATAGATTACCATAAAGTACGGTCCTGAGCCACCTGGATCTATCGACTACTTGTGAGTTTTATCAGGTTGTCCCTACATCTAGTCGCCCAACACTGTACTAGATTTTTACTTGAAAATGAAAACCTTTCACATCTATTGGCTGTTGGTTCTTTGAGCCATATGGCCAGCACATTGCCCACTTTAGCTTACTAATGAGCTAAGCTATTTCAGTTACTCTTTTTCTTGTGCGGATATTCTCGTTACGGGTTTTATTATGCAGGGAAATTCCGAACAATACCCCTTTCCATCGCACGCTAAGTGTTTTGACCTTCTTCAACGACCAGCAGTAAAGAACAATTTGGTCGAAAGTCATCACTGGACAAACACTTTTAAAACAAGTACGAAATTCATCCAAAGAATTAAATTATTGGTCTAGTGTGTTCTCGAATTAATGAGATTTCTTTTATTATTTAAACATTATCGTAATCACCTTGAGTCTAACAATGGCCGCACTTAATATCTTGTGGCATGATCTTCTAGTTCTTCGGAGAGAACAAGAAAAGAGTTGCTAGGTGCAGACTCTAACGAAAACAAAGGGAAAAACTAATAAACAAGAATAAATAACATACATACACATAACATATATCCACGTATACATTCAAACATAATGCTTACATACACACATACATTATTTCTTGAATTAAGATCTATTTCGATAGAAAAAAAGCACTCACTTGAACTTTTTTAATTTTCCGGAGTTCAATCGGATCGATGTCCTCGGAGTCAGTTGGTGACAGGCTAGTAGTGGACGTCGCTCGTATTGATGGCTCGTGCTCCTTCTTATACGTGCACAGCTAGAGAGGATGAAACAAATTCATTAGGATTATCTGCTGTATCGTGGAGGAGATTTACATACATAAATGTCACAAGGCCAAACATCCAGACCCGGAACAATTATTTGTAGACCATACAAATACTTGTTACGTACGTACTATTATAAATAAGCACGTACGACACAAGCCTCTCCGTTGTTATCTGACTTAATCGAACTCGGGTTGCTCGCGTACTGTGATATTTACAAGGAGCGTTTAGCCCCTGAGCTCACACAAATCGGGAATCGAAATTGGGGATGTATTCTCTTACGCCGTCATCTCACGGCACTTCTATTACGTTATTATTATTTTTGTTACAAACCTCAGTCCTGAGTTTCTTCACTTCGCTGCTCAATTCATCGCACTGTTGCGCATACTGCCAGCGCGAGGTGCGCTCACTTTCCACTACCTGAAGCAAGTGCAGCTGCTTCTGCTCCAATTCCTCCTTCTGCAAGAGCACCTTGTTGAAACTGCAAAAAAATGAAATTATTAATAGTAGTAATAAACAAATTAGCTTATGTTTACTCAACGAGCTATGGTGTGGGCTATGTCTGGAGTTTATCTGCATTGTCAAGGACGGGTTTATCGGACTTGTACCAACGAAAACCCCATGGCAGTGGCATATTGGCAGTGCCACCGGAAAGCTATCGTACACATCTGCGGCTCCACCAGCGCTGGTAACCCCATGGCAGACCCTCATATGTGGAGGACTTCTCCTACGTCTTTTCCTTCTCAAGTAAGGCGCACCAGGAACACAAGGCGCGCCTTCCTCCCCGGCCTCAACTCCACCTGTGCAAAGAATCCTCCGAGCCCGATACGCGGAGGCTATGGGCCAGGAAAAAAATGAGCACTCGGAAGCATCAGCTTTCCTGATCCATCAAATTTGGTCTGTGGCTCCGCCGCCAACCAAGTTTCGGTTTGGAAAGTAGGGAGAGCAGTGTCTCGCAATTTCGGCACTCCTCTCGCCCCACAGCCCCGCAGCTCCACCACCACCGCATCAGTGGTGAGGCCTCACTCTGGTCGCGGAAGATATAGCGAGTGGCGCATCGTCATACCAACATCCCACGACTCCACTTCAGCTGCAGTGGTAGGGGGGAAGGACACCCCTCTCGCCGCCGCCCAACAACACACATCTGAAGTGGACTTACCAAGCTTAGGTTCCTCTCCGTTTACTATGGTTGATCTAGCCACGGCTATTAAGCCTCCCCGCCACGACGAGGCGAAAACCCGTTCGGAGAGGCTGCGTACCCGACCTAGCTCAACTGATCAGTAAGCTGAAGTGGCGAAGAACCGGCAATCGATGGGGGAGGAAAGGATTTTGAGTGGCAGCCAGTAAGTGAAATGTAGGATGCCCCCTCCCTCACTAGATGGCGTGACCCATGATAAAACATGCAGGAATTCGATGGATACAGATGGCTCAGGACCGTACTATGAGATATTCCTTGGGGATGGCGTATGTTCAGCAGTAGACTTGTGAAAGGCTGTAAAAATTATGATAATGATGATGCACATTAGAAAATCTGTTGCCGTAAGTATCACAATACATCAGCAACATCGATTCAATTCCCGCTAGTACCAATGAAATTGTTATTTGCAATCTCTCTGATTCTGATTCTGTCTGAAGTCTAATTCAAAAAATATTTTGAAGTCACATTCACATGTCTCATCGCCATCTCGCATTGGAGAAGCGTGTGGAGCCAGTAAGGCCTTCTACAACTTTCTCTGCCACCAGGGCAAATATTTGACAGATTTCATGGATAGGAAGTAAAATTGTTAGAAAAATATAAAGGTTAATGTTTATATCTGAAATATTAGTAATATTGTTTATGAATTAGATTAAAAGTTAATTAATAAACCAAACTACAGATATTCCTAAAAATAAAAAAAATTACGTTTCATCAAAATTACTTTTGCATTGAAGTTTTTTAGAGTCTAGCTCCAGTTAATAAAAATTATATAAAAAATTAAATACTGTTCTGGTGGTATAATATGACGTCGGTTGGACGCCAGATGAGGAAGCTTGAGACGGTAATATCCCATTTAATTACCTTCTTGTTTAATCTTTGCAACGAAGTTCCTTATCACACGGTACGAATTTCACGGATGGGGGCTAGGCGAGAAAAAGTGTAAGATTTTTCCGTCACGACCCCCTTTCTATAGTGCGAGCGAGATGGAATAATATCCATCTCCCTCGCACTTTTCCTTATCTTGCCTTGCAAGAAATAGTATTTTTTATGACGCTTCATTTCAATAGACGCTGGTAATTCATGTTAGTTAATCAGTAATAAAATACGTTTATCAATAATCATATACTACGAAAGAAACCTCGTTCCAACCGAGTGTTCCACGACACTAACGCATGTTTTTATTACTTTCATAATTGTAACTAGCCCCTCTTAAACGTGAGAATTTCAGGATGCTCTAAATTGATCCATCTACTCTAAATATACGAAATTAAAAGATCAATTAAAACCCGCGTAAAAGAAGACATAACTGATGTGAAGAATCGACGCTGCGGGAAGTCTGCAGTCTCTGAACATGGTCAAGATTGTCTCCGCCATTATACATTAGATTTAATAGACCACAAATCCCCGCAACAGAACACCGATTCCTACCAAGGATTATTCTTTTTTTTTTTCATTTCAATAGCCTCGCAGGCTATTGAAATTAAAAAAATATATCCTAATTTCAATAAAGAAGATTGATGGGTGCTACAATCTGCTTGGGATTCTACGTAAAAGTTGTTTTATTCAATGTGTAGTATTCGCGTAAATATAAGAAATCATTACACATTTTACTCATTACAAAATTTCAAATCCACTCATCTCATAAAAGGTATTAGCTAAACGAAATTTAAATGTGTATAGACCACACAAGCTTTATCTCAAAACAAAATCGATCAATTAAAAATCACAAAATAGGGAATAAACCTACAGATTTGTGGCACGCATATAATGGGGACGAAAAACGCGAAGGCAATTATTTTAATACAAAATGAATGTGTTACTATTCTATCTAAACCAAAGCTAGGCTAGATATCGAACATACTACACGTAGCAGAGCATAATATGATATGTATAGTCGTGACGTCGTGAAGTCGTGATTGTACTACCGGTCAGTGCAGTCGCTTCATAAAGATGTGGCGACTCTAGTGCCGAACCTTTTTTATACGCGGTAGAGCCATGCTGCAGCTATATTAGTAGTGTAGTTGTAGCACGAGTGGGTCGGCTCGACCGGGAAAGGACCATGCTCTCACAGAATACCAGCGTAAAATAGCAGCTTAACACTGCTGTGTTTCGTATGGTGAGTGTAGAGAACCGGAGACCCATTTTACCTATTTGAAAAGATTCCATCTTAGGCCTCACGGATGACACATCTGCGTTTTTATTCTTTATTGAGGATAAATGTAGATGGGTGGAATGTGTGCTCGTTTGTCACCCTATCGTATAAAAAAAACTACAACAATTTCATCGCGTGAGCACGTGAACCTAAACGATACCGTCGTAGTCCACGAGCTCCTGGCTGTTCAACAAAAATGGGACGTCATGGACCAGTTGTCTCTGGAGCAGATAATTCTAGCTTCATCGAGGACGTGATCATCTAAGCAAAGAAAGTGTTAGCAGACTTAACCATGACCAAAATCAGTCTTATCACACGTCAATGGGATGAATAAGAAAGGTAAAATAGACGTGCAAGACATTTTGAGACTATTCAATGGGACCAACCCCGATAACATTCCAAATTTTGATCACGTAGATGTGGCCAGATTATTGAAAGATATCAGTACGTTGAAAGCCGATTTTTACGTGGTAGAGTCATGCTGCAGCTATATTAGTAGTATAGTTGTAGCACGAATGGGTTGGCTCCATCAGGGAAGGACCACGCTCTCACAGAATACTAGCGTAAAATGGCAGCTTGACACTGCTGTGTTTCGTATGGTGAGTGTAGAGTGTAGAACCGGAGACCAATTTCACTGGATTGAGGCATTCCATCTTAGTCTTTACAGGTGACGACGCATCTGCATTTTGATTCTTTATTTAGGATAAATATGTAGATGTCTATGGGTCATAGCAACCACAACCACCATCAGGTGGACAGTGTGCTCGTTTGTCAACCTAACCTATAAAAAAAGCCGAACTCGCCGAACAATACCGGGCAAAAGCACATCGGGAGAAGACTTCTGCGATTTGTAAAAGAACAAAGCCGATGCCGCATAGAGGTTCCGATTTCTTTACACTTGCAGCGTCTGGAGTCTAATAAGTCAACGAACTTTAAGTCCGAGGTACCTCAGGTTCCTGCAAATACAAAGAGACAATCCTCTCTCCTGATTTCTGGCCATCTGGGGTAGTCTGTCGCCTATACAGGAACGCACCGAAGAAGAAAGTTCCCTAAATATTGTTGTTTATCTTTTATACATAGGTATATATTGCTTGGAGGCCAATGTTCTTAATTTTTAATTCCTTGATGCCTGAAATAAAGTTATTGTATTGTGTTGTATGTATATTATCAGTACGTCAGAGCAGCTGGATACATACAATTAACACGGACAACCTGTTGCTTTCAAACGCCGTGTGCATATATTCGTTCGGTAAACTAATAAGCGAGATGGGTGGAATAAAGTGATCGATACGGCTTTGTTATATCATTCTAATTTTTTAATTAATCTTCGTGAATCATACCAGAGAAAAATTTTAACAAATAATGCCGTGTAGCAACGCCCTAAAAGAAGTTTCTAAAATTTATTTTAGAAACGGTTTGGAAGCGAACACCTCAGTCCAAGGGGTCCATAGCAACGATGTATTAATTAAACAATCCTTTTTGTACAGTTTTTTTTATTAAATATTTAAATTTGGTAATAGACCTTGTATATTTTCTAGGACTTTGTTGTAATAGTGTATACATTGCCCCATGAAAGAATTACTGACTCTATGGAGTTGAGAAACTGGTATCACTAGCTTGTGTTTGTTCTTAGTGTTTAAAGAGTGTATTTCACTTTTTTACTAAAACTAATTTTGTTTTTGTAAATATACATAAAGTTTTCGTAAATATACTGAGAGGCCAAAGTTAATATATTTATTTCTATGAAAGACACCTTAGTTTAAATTGTAAATAACTCTAAAGGCCCTCTTCTGCAAAACAAAATAGATGCTAAATCAGTCGTTTTTCCCATAGCAAAATCTTTAAAATTATATGATATGAAAAAAACTAAAACAAACTAATCTGGCTGTTTCCATGCTAGTGAGACACCTAATCTTTTTACAGCATAAGCTGCAAAGTTTAGTCTGCTTGCTAGTTTAGATATGTGGGGCCCTAATGAAGTATTGCGTCGAGAGTGATGCCAAGAAAAACAGTATATTCAACAGGGCTCAGTTGTTCCACATTTAAAAACACATTATTATTCAGATTATTAACATACGGTGTTGGAAATTTTACACATTTGATTTTATTGCTATTTAAGTGTAAATTATTA